AGGTAGCTCATTTCTGAAGACTAACATGATAATTTTAAAAATGTACAATAATTATGTTTTAGAATTAAATAGTTAATGTTCAATTCTGTTACCACCACAGCTATCTCAAGATTCTTTTCCACACTACAATAGATAGTATTCGTGCAACTTGAAGCAGGATCAGAGAGTAGACTTCTCAGATTACATTAAATGGGAGTTATAAGAGTTACCTCCTAATATTTCAAAATTATTTTTCCATCACATCCAGCCATTAGCTTCCACAACATTTTGCCCCACTCAGCTAAGGTTACAATAGATAGTTTTTCTAATACTAGTAATTGTGTAAAACCCACAGGCTGATGATATTTTAAGCCAGGGATCTGCAGGGTCTGTTTTTCACTATCATTCAGGGCGTAAATTACTTCTATCTTGGACAAAAGTGGCAAATAATCTCACTTTGGTGTTTATGATCACTAAGCATATGAAAGCAGCACTTCCAGCCTGTTACTATGCTGAGTGATGGATAGCTTTGTAGTAAGAAACAGACTCTGTACTAAAATGCTTAAAATAAAAATAGGCATTTATTAACACATTTGTAGATAAGCTTTAGGACCATAAGAATCCAGAATGACTTGATGAAGGTCACACAAGAAGCCCATCAGAAATATAATTTGTCCATCAATCTCCCAGGTCTTTACACAGTCTTAACTTTAGAAGTTTGTTTTCTTGTTACAGATCCAAGAACGATCTCATAAACTACACTTCCATGTCATAGATGTAATTTCATTGAAGAGTGTCTTTGAGAATTCACATCCTATGTTATTTATAAATCTGTGTTACCTGCTACAAACAGTTGCTTAGGCCATCCTGAATTTTTCATGGTTTTAAGCATTCCACTCTACTTGTAAAACTGAAGCTGTATTCACTTCTCTTGTGGATTTACAGACCAAGAGTGCAGCAGCATGTGTGGATACTCCTTTCATTGCATGGAGGTAACACCCTCTTCACAAATGCTGGTTCACCCAACATCTCCCATAAAACAATGACTCACTTTTCTATTGCGCAGCAAACTCCCAGAAACGGCAGTTCCTTGAGCTTCTTCTTCCTGTGTGGTAGCCTGCAAGGTTTAACATTCTTGTGAGGAGCATGTGGGAAAAGGACACTGTGCAGAGGAGTGTGCTGTCTTTGTCAATGGAATTGCCAAGTATGGAATAACCAGATTCTGTTTATTTTACAGTCCCACTTTCCTCCTGTTCCATTACAGCTCTGTGTGCACACACTTACAAAAGGCTTCAGGCAACGACTGCTATCTCAAGTTAAGGTCAATCAATACAGCTGACTTGCTGATGTTTAATTATAGGTAGCTGATGGTTTCCTCTGGCACGGGTTAACCTTGTTAAATATATGGTTTAAAATTATCCCTTCAAAATTAATTTTCTGCTTGTTTTTAGATACACCATGTGCACTGGTTCTCCTGTGACCTTGATGGGATGGGTGGTGACAGCTAAAACACTGCTTCACTTCATCGACACTGAGATTCACTCCTACATTATAAAACAAGTTCAGGGGTTGTAACTATCTTCCACACCAGTGCATCTGATCTCTCCTGACAAAGGGGGCATGAGATTGTTGTATTCATCTCATGAATACCCTGTAGAGTGTTTCAGTGTACTCAGTCTGGGCTGTTTGCTTCTATTCGCCACCCAGTAAGAAAAGGACCATTTGCTTCTGTTCATCTTGCGTACTATTTCTTGCCAGAGAAAAAGCTGTATGAAACACACAGTCTAAAAGGGTTTTAGTGACATCTTGATTGTAACAACTTGAAAATATTCAGCTTTAAGAAAAACTGATTTGTTACATTATAGAGGGGTTGAAGACACAGTAACATCTTCCTTAAGATTTTTCTTACTCCTATGCTTTGTCAATAGTTTCAGTCCTGAGGGAGAACAGCTGTACTTAGAAGGGCTTTTAAGAAACCACTATATTCACTAGGACACCGATGCCTATTGTAATAGGTCAGCATGTCTCCAGCTGTACTCTGATTTCCAGTAATAGACTTAATCTTCTAAATCAATACCTGATTGCAGTTGGGAAGCCTGCATCATTACACCAGGTAAATCCAATCTTGCCTCCCTCCATGCTTACCTCTGGGTCTGTACGTTTTTTACAGGAAAGGCCCCCAGGTAGGAGTTAAGCATATTACTGAACTTCTGTGTTTAATGAAATGGAGCCAATGTGCTTAAAATATTGTAAGAAAATATAACAGTCCAGAAAATACAAAACAACCTTCTGAAGTTTTACCTAGGGCTTTGTAAATTACTTGGACTTTTCAACGGTGATGTGGTATGATAGTTGTTTTAAGTTCTAAACATACAAAACCTCATTTAATAGAATCCATAAGTAACACTTGTGACAAACAAGTGCCTTCTATCCAAAATTATCGGTTTATTCAAAACAGTAAAGAAATCCAGGGAGAATAGAATCTCAGAAATTTGTATGTTTGAATAAAAGACTTCATGTCTTTTATACCAAAACAAAGGGAAAATTTCTTATTATTTTCCCTGAAGATTCACAGGCAGGAGCTGTGATTAGATCTCATCCAGTTAAGACTTGACAATTAATCCAAATTGTGTTCTAAGGATTTAGTGCATTGTGATATACATGACAAAGAGGAAGAAATTTAAATTGTCAAGGGGCAGATTTTACTTCTTTTACCCACCTTTACTGAACTCTGAGACTAAGCAACTTATTTCAGTGTTTTTGAAGAATGTGATTGTAATTGTTACAATTAAGGCGTTGTGGGAACAGGTCCCACATGAAGACGACATTCAATGAAGTATCACCTTTGATCACACTTGTAAATTCGCAGTGGATTTCCCATTAATTAATATGAATTAGCTGGTTGTGGCTGTTCAATTTAGGTTAATTCTAAATGTTTCACAGTGCATCACTAATCATGAAAAAAAACGAACCCTTATTAAAAAGCACACAGGTAATCGCTGCTTTTGCTCCACTCCGTGCATGTTCCCAGGCACTGACTGCTCTGCCGCGGTGTTTACTTTGGATAGCTCCTAGCACCACCATCCATCCCGCCAAGTGAGTCTTCTCCAGGGGCCCAAAACACCTCAGAATCACAGCTCCCAGCGAGCGGAGAGACTCCGCTAAATGCTTCTTGCCTCCCTGAGGATTCTGTCTCTTTCTCTCCTTTCTCATGTACCCTGGGGAACTCGGGGGCTCTGCTTTCCAACCACCACGCTGCTCTTTTGTCCTCCGTGCAAGGCCTTGGCAAAGCTTCTTTTCACATATGTCAACACTCGCCCTTAATTAGTCCTTCCAGCATAATGAAGCATTCCATCGCCAAATGGCTCAGTGTGCGGCTGTTCCTGCCGTCGCACGGCTGGAAGGACAAAGGGCTGGGGCAACTCCGCGCCAGTGCTGCGGGAGCAGCCGGGCAGGCTGGAGCAGAGCTGTGGGCACAAGCCGGCTGTCACAGACACTGGCCCCATTCTATGCTTTGTAGTCCCCGCTGAATGCTGCGTTTTGTCCGCTGCCCGTCCACGTACAGATGTATAAACTCTCTTTTGTTCTTCACCCAGGAGGGGAAAACTGCGTTGGCAGTAAAACGCATTGACTTAGCAGACAGAAGCCTACCCGCGCCTCCACGGGTTAACAGCAGCCCCTTGCTCAGGGTCACGAGCCGCGGTGCTGAACCAGGTTCCTGTCTGGACATTTTGTCCCCTGCCCCCAGAGAACGACCCGCAGAGGGGAGAGGAGGACCGGGCTAGGATGCAGCGGGCCGCCAGCTCTGCCGCTCCACGGAGGACAGGGCAGAGGAGGGGAGGGTTAGCACCACGGGAAGCTTCTCTTCGCCCCGCGCACCCCCCGCCAATGCAGATCCCCACGCCGCCACACTCCTGACGCGGCACAGCCCTCCCCCGGCCCACCCCCCGACATGGCGGCGTGGCCCCGCCCCTCGGCGCTGGGGGCGGAGCTTTGCGCCCCGCCTCGCCCGGTCCGGGCGGGGGCAGCGGCTGTTTCGGCCGTTGGCGGTCGCGTAAGCGCGGTGTACTGTGGGACACTGCCGAGCTGGCGCGGCGGGGAGGCCGCTGAGGGGCTGTGGTGGTGGCGGCGGCGGCTTCCGTCGGGTGAGTTGCTGCGGGGCAGAGGCTATGCTGGTCGGGGCAGCGCTCCTGCCGCTCCGACCGGGTTTGAACTTTGCCCGCGGCCGCCCTGAGGGGAAGGGCGGGCTGAGCCTTCTCGCTGCTTCGTCTTGGCCGCTTCACCCCGCTCCACCGAGCGGCCCCATGTTCCGTCCCGCGCGGAGCGAGGCGTCAGCGCGACGTCCCTCGGCGCAGGCAGGTCGGAGGGGGTTGTTACCTGGGTCCCTCTCTCGGCTCCCCGGGATTCTACTTACTCCGCCTTACAGCCCCGTTATGGTCCGGTCGTCTCTAACAATACCTCAGGCGCTGTCCCCCGCGGGGCTGGCGTGAGCTGCGACCGGTGTCTTTAAACACTGGCTTTGGCAGGAAGCGCGGAGCCTTGCTCCATGCGGGGCTGGGCTGAGCGGAAAAAGCCCGGCCTGGGCACCGGGAGCGCGGGCACGCGCCGGTGTGGCAGCCGCGGGGTGGGCATGTTTCTTTGCAAAGTGCTCAGCCCTTCCACCCGGCTGGGGGGTCAAGAGGCGTGCTGTGGTTTTACGCGGGCGTATCGGTCGCATTCAGGCCATTAGGTTTGATGTTTATCTCGCTTTTAATTTGCGCTGGCAGTTTCTCTGTAGCTGCTTGTTTCTTTGTCGCACGGTAAGGCGCAGTTTTCAGTCATAATTTCTACGTGGTGTAGTGATAGTCTGTGCTGTAAATAGCTTTCAACTTGAGAAGTTCACTTTGTGCCAGAGTTAGTAAGGCAGGCTTTCATGAGGCCCGGGGCTGTGTGTGTTTGCTTGACTATTCCTGCCCTTCAGACCGAGGAAAGCATCAAAGGTAGTTTCCGTTTGCTTTTCTTGCATGAAAATAACTGGATACGTGGGCTGAACAATACTGAGTGCAAAAATGTCTGCAAAAACTAGTATGTCTGTAACGGTGTAGGTGAGAGCTGCTTGTTTGCAAGAACCACCTATGAAATGACACTGCTGGGTCATCGGCCTCCTCCTCGTGGAGCCGGTTGCAGGGCTGGAGCTTCGGCTGGTGGAGAGCCTTTGGGGCTGGAGAAGCCAGTCTGAGCTGGGAAAGGCCAGGAGTATCCTCCCACAGTTACTAGATGTGGCTGTGGTGGGCTGCTGCTAGCTTCTGCTGCTTCCACCTCCAGAGATTAAATTTAAAACGCAGAAAGTTCCAATCTGTGATAATTTTATTACCCAAAAACTATGTACCAAAACTCTTACTGTTTCAAGTGTCAGCTAAGGATGACTGTCAGAAGTTTGGCCGGAGAGGTTGTTTGTGCTGGTTGGGTTGGCTTGCTGAGGTGCTTGCAGTGCAGTCAGGTCATCATCTCCTAATGGCTTTTTGGTCATAGTATATGTCAGTATGCTGTATAGGGTGATTTCTTTACCTTGATACATTGAAACAAATGTTTCTTCTAAGCGTAATTGCTGTTGTACTTCAGAAGGAACAGTGAATTTCACAGCTGACCAGTTATGAATACTGTTCAGGCACATTTGAGGCCAGCCTAATGTAGCAAAAGAATTAATTTGAAGAGCTGCTTCATTGTGTCTGTCTCTCTTTAACAGCTCTGATGACATGTCACAGGGAATCAACAAAAGCAGATGGCTGGAGGTGGCTCTTGTTGCTTTGGGGAGTATTCTGTTGAATAGCGAAAGATAAGAAGATAAGCACATTAACACAAAAAGTACTTTGTGCTAAAGTGTGTTAAAACTTAATTTGAGAGCAGATTGAAAAATGGTATATTTTAAGCACATATATTCACTATACTTACTTGATACTGAAAGTTTTCTTTTCCAAGTGCAGGTACAAATTTCCAAGTACAATGATCAGATATGCTTATAAAGTCATAATGTACCAGCACAGCCTCGCAAATGTAATGTTTTGGCAGAACATTCAGGGGAGATGACTGTACCTTATCTTGTGTGACTTATCAAAGGTGTGCTGAGAATAATGTTTTGACCTAACATATAAAAGCATTGGTTATGTTGAGGGCTGCCTAAACTTTAAAACCTGTTATGGACTATCTGTTGACTGAATCTATTTGGCCATCTTGGGGGTTTCCTAAAGGCTGATTATATAATACATTCCTACAGAAGATGTCTCACAAGGATTTAACCGGTATCAACCTCCTGAGGAACATGAATTATTACCAAATAATTGAATGGCTTTTCTTGTTAGTGCTGCAGTGAATATTGTTTCCCCCTAACTTCACCTTCTTAAATTAGGTGTCAAGACCACTAAAAATTTATTTTAGTCTCACTGTGCTTTTCAGGAGAACAGTCGCCATTACTGCTCACTTTGACACTATTTAAGAGCTATGCAGAATGTCATGACTTCATTCCAAACATGCCAGAACAGAACATCATCTGTGTAACCTGTACTCATCAGTCTTCAGGAGTAACTCTTTAAACACAGCTGCAGTTTAAGATTTATGTTCTCCTGGGGGCTTTTTTCGAATTTTAGAGTGATTCTGGGTTTTCTGTATGGATTTTTTTTTTTTTTTTTTGGGGGGGGGGGTGGGGGGGTGGGATGTCTCTGGCTTTCTGTGACTTTCTGTAACTTTTTTTCAGAGAGTTCAGAACTGAGTATAATGAGATCAGTATGGCATTCTGCATTTCTTTGATTCTGCAGACTAATCCTGTAGTATATTTAGTACTTGCAAATCCAGATTTCCCTTCCAGCTAAACAGGAGACCAGAAATTCACAGTTTCTGGGATGCTGCACCAATATGTTGAGGTATGGTAGGAAGTAGAACCTGACAAATCTTGCACCTTTTGATAACACGCACTATCAAGATGAAGGTCATTAGAATGCCTGCAGTGGCAATGCAGTTTTTCTGCAACTGTCTCAGCGTGTGAAAAATCAGTGGCGTTTAAAATCATGTGGCTCAGAAAAGGCATATGATATTTTTGCTTAGCATAAGTGAGGGCATGTATTTTCAGTTCACATTATTGTGGAATTTATTTTGTTCATTTCTAAAAAGTAACCTTCGTTTTGAATATCTGAGACAGATGCATGGTTCATGTGTCATTAAATTAGAAGCTGCAGGAAAACAAAGAACCATCTGGAGACTTGGTGGGGGGCATTTGGAGGTTTCTGGTTAAATGTACTATCAACACAGGAAAAACTATAGTGTTTCAGCTACAAAAGGGTGCAGTGTGCTGGGCATTTTGTATAATTGTTATAGTTTGGTGATTTTTAAACCATCTTCTTTTCATAATTAGGTGAAGCACCAGAATGAAAGACATGGACAATATCAAAACTGTCAAGAAAGAATGGTAGGTCCCAGTTCCTCCCACCCCTTTTTTCCTCTTCCTTTGCTATTGCTGTTTGAGTGTCCTGCTGTGACTTTTCAAACTTCATGTTAATTTTTTGTGTCCACCTGCTCCACATGCATTGAAGTTAAAAAAAAATTGTTTTGCTAAAAGATTTTTGACATACCTGCAATGTTTTTTGAGATGGAAAAGGCTGCGTAAATATTTTTATTTAAAGTAGAAAGGCAGCCTGCAAAATGCTAACTCGCTGTGCATCTCTGTATTTGATATGGAGGTGTTTGGTTTTCCAGTTCTGTTTCCAAGGTAAATCATTAGTGAATACCCAGACTAACATTTTAAGTTTCTTTTGTTCCATTAGGAAACTAAACTGGGGACGGCCCACGTCTGAAATCTCTTTTTTCAGGTTGCTGAGTTTTTCTTTTGTTTAAATATGTTAATCTGTAGGGATTTCTTAGTGGCGCATAGATGCTCTGCAAACAATTCCTTTTTATGCAAATGTATCTAATTACCATTCAAGTAAGCATTGCTGCCCTTGAATTCAATGCAGTTTTACATAAAACTGGATATTTTTCAAGAGCTGGGATTTTTTTTCTCTTCTGAATTGCTTAAAATAGTCTTTTCTGAATCTCCAGTAGGAACAATTCCTGCAATGTTTACCAAAAGCTGCATAATCCTCTTACTATGGAAAGGATCTAAACTGAAAGATAGTTGTTCATTCAGGTTGCATATTTCTGCATTTTGGTGAAAATTGAACAGAAACGGCTGTTACATATACAGTGTTCTACAAAAAGATGTAGTTGATGCACCTGGCAGTCTCCACGGTACTGAAGTCTTCTACTGCATTCCTTCAGTGTGCTCAAGTGGTGTTGAGTTGATTTTTCTTGAGTTTCTCTTATGTACTTCCAAGGACAGCAATGATGTTTCTGTGATGGGGAGGTCCAGGTAGGAGTTGGGAAGTAAATCCTCGGGCAGTTTTCTTGTATGTGGTTTTCAAAGCTTATGGCAAAGGAAGTCACCCAAGCCTGTATCATGGAAATGCTTTAAGGAAGGCCATTCGCTGGTGTGCAGTTACGTGTCTGAGGGTCTGAATTAGAAGTATGAATCATCTAACTTGCGTTCCTTGCACTGATACCAAGTTTAGAAGCTTCTGCATAGATGAATTCACCTTTTCTATTGTAATTCTTTAACTTATGCTTCTGAAATGCAAATAGTAGCAGTAAGAGAGTCATACGAAGTTTCTAGAAAAGGCACAATACAGAGTTGACCTGATGTTTTGTAACAACTGAGTCACCTGGGTGTGGGGAAGCATCCCTTTTACACCTCTTGGTACTGAGCTTCTAGGGTAACTGCTTGTCTTCTAACCTGTTATCCAAGGCTTCATTTTTACTTATGCCTTTGTTCTGCAGGTGTAAATCAGGAACTGATGATCAGATTTTGAATGGTACAGAACAAAGCTGTGAATACTTTGTAGATAATCTTTTTGAAGAAGCTCAGAAGGTTGGTGCTATATGTATGCCCCCAACTACAGTCAAGAACCAGGTAGGCAGAGAATAAAAAAATACTCATGTTTGAAGTAACAGCACTCCAGGATTACCCCAGAAAACATGTTAGAAGTCCAGCAGCCTCATCCAGTGCATCTGTAAATAAGTAAATGCACATGGAATTCAGACAGCAGGAAGAATATCTCCCATCTCTTAGTCAGCCAGGCCTATGCTTCAGTGCTTCTGGCTCTTACTTATAGTGGGTTTAGTGTTCTTCTAGGACTTACACTGGCATAGGCTACGGCAATTCTGCTTTATTAGCAAGGGGAGTGAACTGATCATGAGGTGCAAGGAATCATGACAAGTACTGTTACATAAGTTTTAAGAGTTGTAGCTTTTTCCTTCTAGAGGCATAGGCCAGATTTTTTTTTTCTCTCTCATTTGTATAGTTCTGGTAGTAGTGAAATGTTTACTATGGGCTTGTATCTCAGTGATTCTGTCCTTTTCATATTTTTCTGTTGTTCCCTAAAGACTGGTCAGGGGCTGGAGAAACAGCCATGTAGAGCAAAGATGTCAAGGAGAAATTTTCAGTGGGCGTTGCTGGAAATCATGTTAGTGGAGCCAGGAAATTCCAGTTCTGAAATAGTGTTCCATGGCAGTACTTCTGTCAATGTCTAAATGCGGAGTTGGTGTGGAATAGTTAGTCTATGTTAAACTCGCAAACTGGCTTACTGTAGAGGAGCTCTCCCATGATGAGACTTCCGTATGCATAGGTGCCATAAGACACAAGACTTAAAGGAATGTCATTTTGCTGAGTGCTGCGTGCCTTTTTGACAGACTACCCAACCAAAAGAGAAGCTATTTTATTCAGCAGTTTGCCCATGCTATGTGCTCTACCAGTCATCAATGTGTTTAGCAATCATCTTCTAACAAGTTAAACTGCAAAAAAAGAAAAAAAAAGATGAAATTGTAAAGTACTGTCAAGCCTAGTTCAAGCTGATTTCCAGCTGAGGTGAATTCTGCATTTGTACCTGCTTTATATACCTCACATGCAGCCAAGTATCTGTCAAGACAAGATTATTTCAGGGGTCAGACCTTAATGATCAAATGTTCTTTAAATGGTGTGATGCATAAATACGAAAATGTAATCCCAAATATATATCCATGTTAAAGTTGAAGAAATTTTAGTGAACATTGTGAAAGCTACAAGTTAAAGTAGTGAATGTTTTCTGCAAAGTTAGTAAGCTATTGTGGTTTTTTTGTTTGTTTTTTTTTTTATTGCCCTAATACCAATGTTTTGAATACACCAGAAATTCCAGGGTGACATAAATGTATGACTATCTGAAAGTAAATTTTCTGATACTTGCTGCATTTCCTGAGTGAAAAGCTTCTGCGTGAAGTATTTCAGTGCTTTACTTGCAGAAAATCCTCCTGAATGATTAAAACAAGGCTTTACCCAAATAAATCCCCAGCTGGACTATTCTGGTTGCTGGTGTTCCAACACCAGGCATGTGTGTGCTCTCAAATTAGCTCTTGAAGAGTTGCAGCTGGCTGGGATATTCCAGCTCTTTTTTGTTTTTTTTTATTCTTTCTTTTTTTTTTTCCTGCGGAATTGAAGTTGTTCCTGACATAGGGAAGCAAAATGATTGGGAAGGTTTATTTCTAACTCTGATTGACACAAGATATTTAGAAATGTCACTTACCCCTTGCAGTTGTTCTGCCTGCTGGCACAGAGCTGAAACAGATTATAGCAAGCCTTCTCTTGGTATTTTTAGTCCATGCAGTGGATGATTTACAGTTATAGGGTACTGTGGGTATACCAAGCTGTTCTTACATCAGCGGTGTTATGAGAATTGTTCTTACTTTATAGGTTGATGTAATCATTAAACTTTGGAAAAATGGGTTTACAGTAAATGATGGTGAACTTAGGAGCTACACTGATGTTGCAAACCAGCAGTTCTTGGACTCCATAAAAAAAGGGTGAGTTTTGTGTTCTTAATCAGCCTGAGTTAGTGTGCTTTGGGTAGCACTTAGCTTATGCTCTAGGTTTTTTACATAGCTGCTTGGCTTTGCTGCACTGCAGTATCCCTGTAGGAGTGCAGGCCGCCGCTTGACTCAGTTCCTGCAGTGTTAATGGCTGTTTTAACATCAACAGGTTTAATATAGCTTTCAATTGCAGCACTCGTACAGTTGCTGATGAAATAGATAAAAGTGAGTGTTGGTGGGGGGCACAGCAGGTGCAAAATGAAATAACGAATAAATCAGAATACCCAGTAAGAGCTACTCATCAATGGTACTTTGGCTAACGAACTCAATGCACAAGGGGTTTAGCATTTCTGTTTTTATGGTCTTTGTTTCCTTTTTATTGATGATAAGCCTTAAATGGGCACAGTTTATCCGTTTAACATCAAGAAACTCTGATCAATCTTATATTTCAGACACCTTTCCCAGTCCAAACTTGCTATCTCAGTCATTTGTGTGTAGCAGTCTTACTGTTATCCCCTTGTTATCAGGATAGCATGATTTGTGTTATTTGCTAGTGTTTGCAATGTTACTTTAAAAAAGCAGGTTGACCATACAAACCAGTGTAATTTTGAGCCTTTAATTTGTAGTCTGTTTCCTTACCCCATTCAAATGCAGAGGCAAATAAAATTTTATTGAGAATATAATGTAATAATTCCTTTTCAAGTATGGGAAACTACTAAGCCATTGTAATTTTTGTATTTTGCATACTTTGCTAGCCCATCAAAACCACTATTTTTACACTATTTCTCCTCTGTAGCTGTTGCCTGTGTTAGTTGTAATAGCAATTAACTGCACTTTTTAAAGTGCTTTGCTCGCTTTGTATGCGTGCATCAAAAGTTTGCTGCCTTTCTTCCACTGTTTGCTTGTGAACATACTAATTACAAGATGGTTCCTGAATAATTGTTGATGGTAGAGGAGCACTTAGTACAGCCCCTGTGCCAGCTGAGCCCCACCACCCAAAAATGTACTGTCTGCATCAGAGCTCATAGAGAAATTCATTGTTGTGTTCTGCTTAATGCAAATAAAGCGTTACTGACATGGTACTGCTACACTAGAAGTGTAGCTATTGGCAATGATCTAATTTTTAAAAGCTGAGATTCATGTTTATTTGTAATTAAACACATTGTGTCTAAACTCAGTTCTTTCTCTTTAAAAGCCAATTCTTTTTTCTTGTTTCATTATGGGGATAAAATAATTGAACCCTTTGCAGCAATGTATGGCAATACTGAACTTCCTGCACATCATATGCTTTGGAGTGGTAACTGCTGAGTAAATTTAAACATCATTCAGCTTGCATGATAATGTCTTTATTATTTGCTTTTTAGTTAATTTGCAGTTCAGGGACCTCAGATACCTATTTGGTATACTGAAAACATATACTGTGTAACAGCTCTTTTTATGACTTTTTTTTTTTTTTTTTCCTTAAGGGAACTGCCTTTTGAGCTACGCAAAGTTTTTGATAAAGAGGAGGTAGATGTGAAAGTGGAAGATAAAAAAGATAAATTGTATTTGTCATCACAAAAGCCAGTGTTTCATCCTTTTTCTGGACACGGTTACAGATTAGGAAGGTGAGTAGTCTGACGTAATCTGTGACTGAGTAGCTGAAGTGAGCTATACGTGTGGTAAAGGTTCTCATAATTCAGGTTGGAAGTGATCTCTGGAGTTCTCTAATCCAAGCTTCTGTTCAAAGCAGGATTAGGTGTGGGAGCAGATGAGGTTGCTTGGGCTTTTATCGAGTTGGACTTTGAAATTCTGTATGAGTGGAAGCTGTGCAGCCTGCTTCGGTGCTGGACTGTACTCATGGGAAAGAAATTTTTCCTGTGTCCAGTGTGAACGTCTCTTGTTTCAGTTTATGTCCACCATGAGCTTGGCTCCCTGCTCTGGATAACCTTCTGTAGACCCTGGCTAGCTCCTGTTAGGTTTTGTCTTCCCTAACACCATCTCTTCCAGAGGCTGTACAATCTCTCCTCATCCAACTTCTTCTCAGAGGGCAGATGCTCCAGCCTGTGGCTATCTTGGTGGCCCTCCATGGAACTTGCTCCAGTTTGTCTTTATTTTGGGTACCAAATCCGAGTGCAGTATTTAGGTGTGTCTGACATGTGCTGCATGGGGCATAACTGGCTCTGACAATCTACTGTCTGCTGGTTAATACAACCAGGATGTGGTTGGCTTTCTTTATTCAAGGTCTCAATACTAGCAGAACTGTTTCCAGCTGAAAGGCTGTCACTATTCTGTGATTTAAGAGAAAAGAATCTCTTTTAAAGCTGTATGTGCAGTACATTTTGCAAGAAGAGTGGAGTATGACAATCCTATAAAGGGAAATGAAGTAGTAAGGTTATTTTGCATTCCCTTAAAATTCCTTAGTATTTAACCATATATTTATTGCAGTAAGATATTATACTGTGTTACAGTGATCATCTTTTGTTTACTCCATGAGTCTCTTATAGTTGGAAAGTGTCAGCCACTAATGCCAGTGCTAAAACTGGACTTGATTTATAACCAAACAGTACTGTATTTTGAAAGGCTGTTGCAAAGGGGCAGGCCAGGAATTCCTGTATTTGATCCCTGTGACTTTTGCTTCCTCCAGCCAAATTATATGTTTCACATACCCATGTGGTGTAAGACTTGCATGCCTATAAGAGGAGACTTCAGCCTAGAGAACAGAACCCATTCAGTGACAAAGGAGCCTACAGGAAGCCTTCACAGGTGGGACTGCCTAGTGACCTGCTGGGTGGCTTGGCAGACTGCAAAACCTTAGGTGAAGAGCTGTTCTGATTAAGCAGAAAAGTCTTGCTGTTAAGGCCCAGTGCTTACTCTGAGGGAAAGCATGACCTGGTGTCCTGGGTTCAGCAGTAGCTGTCATTTTTCTCCTTAGAAGCTGGTGCAGTGCTGTGGTTTTGACTTTTGGCCTGGGAGCAGCACTGATAACACCGATGTTTTAGTTACTGCCCAGATGTTTAGTCTGACCAAGGACTTCGTGAGCCTCATGCTCTGCCAGGGAGGAGGGGAAGTCGGGAGGAAGCAGAGACAGGACACCTGACCCAAATTAGCCAAAGAGGTATTCCATAACGCAGCACATCATGCCCAGGATGTAACTGAGAATTACCTGGAAGGGCACTCGCTGCTCGATCGGGCTCAGTTGGCGGGTGGTATCATATTCTCTTCCCTTGTTATTTCCCTTATCATTCTTATTATTGGTGGTATCAGTAGTGATTTGTGTTATACCTTAGTTACTGGACTGTTCTTATCTCAACCTGTGGGAGTTACATTCTTTTTGATTCTCCTCCCCATCCTTCTGGGAGCGGGGGAAGTAAAGGGGGAGGAGTGAGAGAGCGACTGCATGATTTATGGCTGACTGGGTTTAAACCACGACACCTGGGTAGGAACAGATGAGGCAGCAGGGTAAGAAGATAATAATGTGCAGAATAAGTGACTGATAATAGTAAAGGATGAGTTGTTCCAGGCTGCCTCAGAGAAGCAAGTATCTGTTTTATCAGATTTATCTGTTTCTATAGCACAGCCATTCAGTTGCTGCATGCTTGAGTAGATATGGTCAATAGGAAAAGTCTTCCCTTGAGAGACGGATGAAATGCTGCAGGACTTGATTTTGGTAGCGCTGAAATCCTAAGCAAACAAGAGTCATGAGCTTAACCTTATCTAACAGTAGACCTCTGTATAGCAAAAGCAAACTGTCTTTAGTGTACTGAGTTTCTGCTGCTAACCATTGCTAAATGGGAGGGTGTTCTATTGCTTGTCATGCTCTGTCATGCCTACAGCAAGTAATGATCTTGCTTCCCAAAAGGCAAGTTAGGCTCTGGAAGGATGCTATTCTGTGTATTTCAGTTGGCTGGTCTTGTACACTGAGACATCCTACAACTTGCTCAGCATTTTTCTTTTTTTTTCTTCATGGACTAGATAAAATGCCTTTTTTTTATCTACTCTTGCTCCAGTCAGTGCTATGCTATCGGAGCCTTTCATTTAAAGGTTAGTAAATAACTTCTGCTGATGTTGGAACCATGATCTGTGAGTGCTCTTACTCAATAAACTAGTGCTCACTTCCTGATGTTAATAAATGTCCATTGCATATGCTACTCTTTCAGCGAAAATCTTTGTGGGGAAATAGTAGTGGTGCCGATACCTGTAAGAAGTTTTAAGTTGTTTTACTCTCTTCCCACAGTTGCATTTGTGTGCTTAATCAGAAATGAGACATATGACTGAACAGTTTACTTCAGTTTATGACCCAGTTAAAGTTCTGCTTTGCAAAACCACTTTCTTTTAATAGTCTATCGATTTTCTGACAGTGTTCCCAGGTGGAAGGATTATGTGGCGGATGAACCACTATGAATCAGTCTGTTGAGTGGCTCATTATAACTTTTCATAGAGGGGGAAAAATGGAGGAACTAGAAATATAGTGGTTGATGTAACTCACATGAGCTTGATCCCTCTCTTTGTTTTACTGGAGAAACAAATGAGACTTATTTTCCAATGTACCTTATGAACCCATATGATTGATTGATGGCTTGGCTTCGCGAACGAGGATTTGGGAAGGGCTTACCCACACTAGCCTAGGCCCTGGCAGATGACCCCATATAACTAATAGATATATTCTGGTTTGTCTACCACCTTTCAGCTGCATTCAAGAGTCTGGGATTATAACAAGATTTGTGACTATGCTTTTCTATTCATCTTATCAATGCTTTTTAAGGACTGCCTCAGAAGCATGTTAATTAAACTGTTGACTGAAATCCCTTGGAGCAAAGTGGCCTTGCTCTATAACTTCATTAGGGTAAAACACTGTGTGCCAAGCTTCTTAACCATTAGTCACAGTAAGGTATGATACCTAACATTTGGGATTCTTGTTTTTAGAAAATTGACAGGATGCTCTTATGTCTTTTCAATCTTTAGTTTACATCTTCTTTGTATAATCTTATAACAGAAATAAGCCTTTAAAAGGGGTGATAATGCTTTGATCTGAAGCAAATAAGAGACTTACGTTCTTGCTTTTGTGATTTTGGTCAAAACTCCCACCACTAGATTGGTTTTATCTGTCAGCAAAGTTATTAAGTATAGGAATGCTTTAAACCTTAGTGAATATAGATCTTCTGACTTTCTCTTGCAGCTTCACTTAGCATGTTGCCTGCAGTTTCAGACATACAGGCTATTGAAAGAATGCTCTTAAGTGCCTACCACAGTGACTGTGAGGGAAGTTGGTTCGAGAATGACACCAAAATCCATATCCATTTCAGACAGTTCTGTGAACTACAACTGTGACCAAGCTACAGTGTAGTTGAGCCCAGGCTAAAGCAGCTGCCAGGCATCCCCATGGCTGACTACCTCTCTCCAGCCTCCACTATACTGGGGTCAGCTGGTGCATACACAACTGTATATGCTTCAGTGTCTGGATCTGGAATTGAACACTAAGGAACTGATAAAGTAGACAGCAAACACTGATCACTGCTGTACTGAAGTAGGGCTTGAACTTTTGTGGAGGTTTTTCGCTCTGCTCACAAGACTGTTTAACAGTGTTGATGGTTCTCAAGTGTTTTTTTCCAGATCTGGAGGACAGTGAGGTTTTATTTTGTATTTGGGTCAAGCATAAACAGAGCCTGGGTGTGAGATAAGTAAATCAGTACAGGTAGGTGGGTGATAATAAGTCACTTGTACTGGGAGCACCAGGATATTGTACAGATGTGCCTCTTGGAATATATTGGTGCCAAGTTCTTGTGCCCCAGCTGATTTCTGTGTAACACAAAAGAGTTCTGTGCTTCTCATCTGCCTCCAGTTGCAATGAACATCACTTACTACTCACTTAGGAATGAGATTCCTTGAGTCTCATTCTTTTTGCAGAGTTTCAATGGAGGAAATAAAAAGTGCCTCTGCTGGCTGATAGCCTGGAAGTGAGAGCACTTAACTAGGCAGTGGGTCATTAAGTTTTTTAAATACCTCAGACTGAGCAGGACTTTTGAGCCCAAGACTTTATTAGCCTGAATATATTAAGTCCTTAGCCATATTTGTTTGAGTAATAAATTTGCTGTGATTTTTCTGCTTTATGATTAAACTAAGATACGCACAAGAACATAAGGATGCAAAGCAGGTGTAGTATTAAGACTGTTGCTCTGTGGCCATTGGTTACCGACTGCTCTCTGAAGAAACAGTATCTCATCAGTTTTCTGTGCAAAGAGAAAGCTTTTCAGCAAACCACTGTGAAATATTTGTGTAGTTTGTGACCACAGCTGAGCTCAGAAGAAATGGTAACTCCTTAAATCACTGCTATTGTTTTGTAAGCAAACATCTGGTTATACTCTCGTGGGCTGAGGATATGCCTGTTGGATCAGGCTTTCTGATGACTTAAACAGTACATGCTGAACAAGCCTAGTCCTGAGAGCAGCAGTAAGTTCTAGACATTTCTTCAGAATAAAAATTTTTGCCAGTAATTTATTGTTTTTAAGACCACGCACTTGGACTGAGGTCCCTGTATTCTGTGAAGTCATTTTATGGATCTTTGCCCTTGTGATAGTGACTTAGAAAAAAAACAAAATGCAATGCTGTGTGCATCAGGCTGGATTTTTCACATGAACTCAGTTTCTCTGATAGATGAGTAATGCTTCTAAGATGAAATAGATGCTTCTGGGGTCTAAATCAAGGCTAACAGCATTCACTTAAATTGAGTTACTGTAATCATATTACAGTGAAAATTAACATTGAGTATGCAAATTCAATACTCAAACCCCTTAAAGTTTCACCTGTGTGATTAGAGTACAAAAAACGCACGAGGAATGTTCAGACTGTTTTATCTCTTGTGTATTCCTATTTAATCCTTTGATATTTAAGTTCCTTTCCATCTTGTAAAAATGTTTAACATGAGCAAACTGAAATTCTTTAGCATGTTGAAGTCTTCAAGAGAAAGTATTGGCATACAGTTTAACAGAAAAGCTGACATTTATGTAGGTATTCCTATATTTGTTAGAAGTCATCAATACACCCTGAACCAGGGCAGAAAGCTCCAGAAGCAAAGATCTGGAGGGAGGTTCAAGCTCACGTATGTACACAGAAGGCATAACCTTATCTGGCTTTTCTTTTCAGTGCTACTCCAAGGATAATCTCCAAAGTAAGAGATGATCATCAAGGACCTGACAACAAAAGGCACCTCCCTTTAGTACCGTTAAACAATTTGGAGCCTATCACTAACATCCAGATCTGGTTAGCTGATGGAGAAAGGATAATTCAGAAATTCAATGTTTCTCACAGGTAAGATTTATTTTAGCACTTTCATAAACATTTGCATCTGACCTGCTTGTCTTATGCCTGTAGGCATGAAAAGTCTCTAATTTCTGTGAATCATCTTACCTCCTCAGTTCACATAACACTGGACTGCTGTTCAGCTCCATCTAGAAAACCGCTTTTCAGATGTTAAGAAACCTGTCAGCTGATGAGAGGAGCATAAGAGACATGTGAACTGATGTTAGTAGACAGCAGATAACTCAGCATAAATGAAAATCTAAGGCAACTGTAGGAGCTGTTGGTAGGTTAGTGGAAGTTAAGGTGTATGTATTGCTCATTACTAGAGGAAACAGCTTTTTAAGATGACAGATCTCTCACAAAATGACTACACCTGGAGCAAATTGCTTAGCAAAAAGCCTGCTAGTCGCTGGGCACAGACAGCACCACAGGTAGGAGCTGGAGGGTGTGACTCTGGGGTTGAGCCACAGAAACATCCTGGGAGGGCCAAAGTCAGTGCACTAGGCAGCGGAGGGTCATTACTGGCACATCAACGTGGACACAGTAGAATGTATGCAGTGTGTTTAATTCTTAAGTAGTAAAATTTCCAGCTCTCAAAGAGGCTTATAAATGGTGATTACATAAGAAGGTATTGGCACAGCGTATGTCTGCAGGATCTTTGAGAAAGTAGGATTAACTGTTTCAGTTGTAGATCTGCTGTCTTTAGAAACCTTTCTCAAATTTGTAATTTAAGAAATTACTCCACTACTAGACAGTCACACCAGAGAAAGGATATGTTTCCTGTGCTTCTCTGTGAAGTAATTTCGAAGTCATCATAGCTCTAATACAACCCAGGCTGCTGTCAAGGTAAACAGTGTGTGTCTGTGGCTGGTCAGAAGAAAAGCTCAGCAGCTGAAGGTTAATGGCTGTAACTTTTTCTTTAACTTGTACTAATTTATTACTGCTAGTGGCATAAGGTATAAACTAAAACACTGTTGCCATGTACTGCTAAAGGATGAACTGCTATTTCAGCTATAAACACTGAAGGGCTTAATATCTTAATTATTTCAGGTTTCACACATTTAAGTATATTTAGAACCTTTTTGTCTTCGTGGTAAGTAGCAGTTTGAACAGCTGCTAAGTGCTTTTGGAGGAGGAAAAAAAGAGTGAGATAAGCAGAACAACAATATGTGATACTTTTCTTGAAGTAGTTTGAAATAAATACTCCATCATAACCTATCCTTTCATCACAAGATCAGCATATTTGTGCTACAGACAGTATTTGAGCATGACCTAAAGAGAAATAGGAGGAAATCCTTTTAGAGTCCAAAGCCCTTAAGCATTATGATTGTATGTGTAGCACTCCTTCTCATGGAGAAGCAGAAAACAGTCAACTCTTCGTTAATTAAACTACAGGTCAATAACCTGTATCATATATATATATATATATATTGCAGTGCCTGGGTAGATAAATTACTTCTACCCTTTTACAAATAGAGTGTGTGTGTGTGCCACGGTAACTGCTGCTTTAGTAAGATGTGGTTCGTGATGAAAGGTTGACGTTACAGCATTGGGGCTGTAGTATGGGGAGTTGAGGAGACATGAGAGTAAAGCAACAAGCAGAGCAGTGCTGTAGGAACAGCACACCTTGAGTTGAGCTGTGTTCTTCCTTAAGCAGTTGCAAAGTTAGTGTGACCCTGGAGCATCGTCTATGGAGCCTGGACAGGAACTTGTCCATCCTAAAGCAGGTAGCTGGCAGCCAGTTGCCTGAGCTGCAACTTCAATATCATGCATGTAGACACCTGTAAATGTCAAAACCAGAATCTATTCCTGCTTGAGATTTTTCAGGCTTTAGGCCTGTAAGACCAAGTGCTGTCTCTTGATTGAGGCCTGCATGCACAGGAATTAAAACCTGGCTATATCTGGCCTAGTAAGTGTGGCTAAGCCATGAAGGTCATCTGTGCTGCCTAACTGTTAGGATGATTTTGGCCAAGCCAACTAGCAGTTTCTCAGGTGATACCTAGGCTTGGTTTGGATCTTAGCTCAGTATTCCAGGATGCACTAAACCCCATTGGCTACCCTGTGCATGGGGGAGACAAAGGATGAGTTTAATAATTTGTCAGTAGCAGGAGGCTGTCAGCTGGCCTCAGGATGAGGGAATGACCATTGACAATATGTTTATTTTACTGGTATAGATGTATCCTGTCATCTTCATTTTCTAATTAAATTGGTCAATTCTGACTCTTCCATAGCAAAACCTCGGTCTTGCTCGCTTGTTGCAAGGTTCTTCGCAACAGGCAGCTTGAATCTGTAATGAATTCACTGATACACCTGCTTGGGTTGAAGGAGACTGTATTTAGACCTAGATAAGCTATCCAGACAATTTTTGCAAACCTTTTTTTTTTTTAGTGTTATGGTTCTGCTACATTTACCACACACTAGAGGCATACATTTAATTCTACCTCTTGGCTACAGAAACCTCAGGTAAGGGCTCCACCAGCTGGTTAAGAAATAGTAGGCTGGTGTAACTACCATCTGAGCCACAGGGAAGCATTTGAGAGCTCAGAGTAAGATACTCATCCTTTTTTTCCTTGGGAATGCTCTCAGAGCAGACGAGCCTTGGTCACTGCCTCCCAAGTGGATCAGGCACTTTAGGATTCCATCCATTTATACTCCTCCATTTCTGCGCCATCAGCTATTTCATGAAGTGGTTGTCTCATTTTCTTTTTGTGGTGACTGTCTGTTGTGCATATAGTCTGTGCTGGCAATGGAGTACTCTAATGCTGAGTTCTCTTTCTTTCTTCTCAGAATAAGCCATGTCAGAGACTTCATAACAAAGTATCAAGGATCAGAGGGAAGTGTCCCCTTTACGCTGACTACTTCGCTGCCATTTCGAGAGCTGCGAGATGAGACACTCACACTACAGGAAGCAAAGCTTCAAAATGCAGTTGTTGTTCAGAGACTTTGGAAAACAACTGAACCTTTCAGGCTCTTAGTGATGAAAACACCTGACAATGACTATAAAACTGCTGCTACACCCAATGGACAGCTCAAGAATGAGCGAAAAAACACTATCAAAAGTACATGATCAAATTAGCTTTTAACTGGCCAAAACCTGCATGCAGGTGGAACTATACAAAACCAAAAATGTAACCAGCAATATCTGGATGCACTCTCATCCTCCCGTACTGTGCTCTTAGAGAGCAAAATTTGTGCTGTGCTATCATTTGCTATAATAGAAGTATTTTTAACTAAATTTGGTGGTCAGAGACTGGCTATAATGTAGCAGAGGTAACTGTAGAACAGGTCATCCTTATAATTCCTTAGGTAGAAAGCTTCTAAGTTCTTAGTATATTTAAGTGGAACAGTTCTCTGAGATTTATTTACTACTGACAGCACCTTTTAAGGAACAAATAGTATTTATTTTTGCACTTTGGACAGTGAGACTGAACAGATTGTTTCACTTACATTTTAGAGTAAGCTGCTGCAGTTTGCATTCTTCTCACAGTAACTTTTAGGCAACAGATGTTCAGGGAAGCTCACATTTGAACTCTTATCTAACTTGTAAACCTTCAGTATCTTCAGGATTTAACTTTTTCACAAGATATGCAGTGTAATGTTCTGTCGGGTCTTCACATGATGGTAGGTGCATGTGTGAGAAGATAGAAATGAGGTAGTCTGGTGCATACTGCATATGAAGTGCCTCAGAGTTCTGAAGGAATTGTTATTACTAGAACTAGTGGTAGAGAGGGTTTCTGCCTCTCTTGTGCTCCTACGAGTGTCTTGGAGATTGTGATGTTAAACTACCTAGCTCATTAGGATAGAAACCCACTTTTATAGCCTTGTCGCACAAAAACTTCAGCTTTTGTGGAGATTACCATACAAAATAGTGGTTTAGACAGATGTAGTTGGCTTCATACTATGTATCTGCCTGTGTCCTGAACTGAGACAATAACTGCATGTGGCCAAGTTTCAAAGACGTTGAAAATCCTTATTTGAAAACTGTGGTTTCTTTCCTCTTCCCCTCACTCCCCTTGCCCCATTTCCAACCAAATTGATTGTTTTGGTATTCATGTACTTGAGGCATAAAATCTGTAGCCAACTATTCCATGTTTTGCTAAAGGAGATATCAACATAAAAATTAAATATTTTGTACTGTGTTTGCCAAGTAGCATGTGGGTTTGTGAATGGAGCTAGAGTCTCTAGTAAGACTTCAATGAGTGCTGACTAGTCTGTGCTACCTATGCAAGCGAATGGGGTTGTAATTCTTTTGCATTGTTAAATGAAAGATGGGTTTGAGATTTCCTGTTTTTTTTCTAAGTAGAAAAATTATTTAATTGGACTGACTTGAATTCCATAAAAGTTCTGTTACTTCAAACTAGACATGTGCTTGCTTCATTCCCAGGAATGTAAAAACTCCTTCGCTTCATCATCTCTCCAGGTATGTTTGAGTGCAGTGAAATGAAAGACAACTGCACAAATACCTATTCAGTGTATTCAGAAAGCAAATCTCAGAAACCTATGCAGTTAACTGTTCTCAGTCCTATAAAGTTGATGTGCTGGTGTATCATTCAGGTTTATGTAGCAAATAATCCAACTAGATTTTCTTTGCTCTTGCACTGACTCCTCTACTATATGTAAAGTTTACCAGATCTCTAGTAATAGAAGGAATGTGCAGACAAATCTACTAGTAAAATTGAAGAGACAAGTCACTCACAGACACAGATCTAACCCTCAGTCTGCAGAACTTCCAGAACACTGAATTTTGTTAACTGGTGCTTTTGAATTTGTCTTAATGTAAAACTGCTGGAAAACCTTACATGCTTGATTGTGAGCTCAGTTGTTCGTATCTAAAAGGTGCATGAAATGTCAAAATACATAGAATTCAAGCTAGTCACAGTTATATATATGGTATATGCTAGTCAAAGTAATATACTATTCCTGCATTTATAGCATAGAAATTCAAAGGAGTAAGTAGTGTAGGATTGATGAGGAGAAGTGTCAAATTTTAACATAGGTAAATCCATTTTGCTTGTCAAAAAATCATGGTTTTGGAAAGGAGCAGTATTTCAACACTGGTTCATGTCTGCTACCACTATCATAAGAGACTGGGTAGTTTGTCTGGCTATCTATTGTGCTTTACTGAAATAGGATAGTTTTGGCTACAGCTTTGGTGTATTTCTATGTAATTGCAATTTGAAAGTGTCATGATCTTAATTACAAAATGGGAGCAAATTTTTAAAAAAAAAATCAGGAGTGATGCTGACTGCACTAATCCCTGTTAGGCTAGAAAGTGCCTTTAAAAAAAAGGCAACAAACTGTGACTGGATAACTCACTGATTTGGAGAAAATCTTTGGAATGAATACAGGGCTCTCCTAAATCTAATTGGTTTCAGTTAGTCTGTAAAGACTGATTGGCTACCTGTAGTGCCTGGACAGCCTAATCTCTTGCTTAGTTCTGTAGACGGCTATTGTGCATTGGTCAAACAACAGTAAAAGTAGCCTGATCAGTGCTTGAGTTTGTGAAACACACAAATGCTATCACTTAATTGTTTCTCACAAGCTTTTGGTGTTTTGAGTAAAGCCTGTGTATTTAATATAATTTACAGCAAAATTGAAATAGCCTAGAAAAGAAGAAAGAAAGGAAATGTTTTCTTCAGGTTTTCTTCTTTTTCTTTTCCAGATGCGGGTAACAAAGATTTAACTTGTTATGAGGACACTGTGTCAAGAGAAAATGAATATCCTAAATGTTGAATTTGAATGTTAGATGCATACATACCTTGTATCTAGCTTGGTATTTTAAAAGAAATGTTGAGGTCAAGGGGCTGAGCAGTCCACCTCTGCTTTGGAGCCTCAGATTTTAGGGGCCCTTTGGAGCCCAAAAAGCTTCAGTTTTCAACAAGGCCTATTAAGGCCACAATTTCAGTTTTGTGTTGAAGGTCTGTTTCTAAGATATTTTTTTTTTAGATTTTTTAATGCCTTGTTCTTTCAGAATCTCACAATTTTTCTGCAATTATTCTTGTCAAATGACTTTGTCCAGGATTTGCATATCAGTAGTTTATGATGTAGTTTGCAATGTCTGTCAAATACCAGAGTGACCCCTGTCAATACCAGAGCTCTTTGAATCCGCCGAGCCAGGAAGCTTATAGATCAGTCATTGCACAGATCACCAGTCCCCGGGTGCTTGTTGGCTTGTTTAACCTACCTTTTCTCAGGCTGTCTCGCTGTTGAAAGAGTTCACACTTCAAAATGCAGTTGGGTTTTTTTCCCTCGATACGGAGCATGCTTACAAGGCCCTTTTCCTGTGGGCAGAGGGGTGATGAGCTTTTGCTGCCCAAAGAAGAGTGTCGGCTCCACCGCCTCCGAAGGCAGCAGCAGCAGCAGCTCTTTCCACAGGCTGCTTCCTGGGCCAAGTGTGGGTTTGCGTGATCTCGGGTCCAGTCGACAGACGACAGCATTGCTGGTGGCGTGGTTATAAATTCACATCAGTCAGGAAGCTGCATCTCTTTAAAGGGCAGAGCCGGTATTTTTATACTTTGGGTGAAAACAGTCCCAGGAACCTTCACACCCGATGAGGGCGCCCTCGCCTGCGGGGTGCCGCTGAGGGAGCTGGCAGGGCGGGTGGTGGGGCGGCCCTTGGGACGCGCGGGCTGGTCGGTTAGCAGGCTTACTGGGCAGTAAAGCCAGGGTTTTCCTCTCGGGCGGCTCCCGCTGCAGCCACCGCAGGCAAAAGCGAGGAGAGCTGCCTTGCTCCTCTCCACAGTGGAGGTGGCATGGAGGGACTGAGGCGGAGGGGCTGTTGGCGCTGCCGGCTCGGCGGTCTCGCCTGGGCAGCCCTGACCCGAGGCAGGAGAAGAGCTCCCGCGGGGAATGCCCTCTCCCGAGCCTGGAGGGCAGCTATCTTTGCCCGTCCAGGCGCTGCGTGAGGGCGGGGGGACGACGCCATGCGCTGTCCCTCGCCTTCCCTCCGCGCCCCGCCCCGGGCACGCAGGTGCTGGACGGGGGTGGTCTGTCCGCTGTGCCATGGCCGGGGCTGCGAAGGGCATCCCGGAGCGCTCGGCGGAGGCGGAGGAGGTAAGGGGATGGGTCCCGCTCTAGTTTTCTTTTCATCGCTGGCAGGTTATGGGGAGGGCCCTGGTGGGCACTCTGGGGGGTTGGGGCAGCCCCTGTGCTGTGTGGTGCTTTTTGCGCGGCGCAGCCTGTCTCAGCCGGGTACCTGAAATAGCTCTTCAGCCCTTACCGCCCCCCTTCTGTCTCACCAAACAGCTCGGTGTAACTCTGGTATTGTCCTTCGAGTGCACTGTATGATATTTACTGCCCATCTCGGTGATGGGTGTCCATCTCGGGTCCCTTTCCACACCTTTTCCTCTGCGACTCTCTCTGATCAGGCCAGATGGGTTGCAGGAGAGGTGAGGGCGGGAGGGGGTCTTTCTCTTCAGGCAGCCTCATCAACTTAGAACTTGCAGATGTGTGTTGCGAGTGAGAGATTATCTAAATGATTCCTCTTGAGGCTCGGTACTTGTAGAGAGAGAAGTGGAGAGGGAGGTGAGAAATGAGTGAGGACCCCCCTCGCTCCGTGGCTCTTGAGGGGGCATCTGATCAAACTGGGAAAGGGGCAGCTTCAAAACAGAGGGACCAAAGTAACCTAACAGTGTGGTGGAGGGTGTTCAAGCTGTGGAGCTCATCGGGCCCTGTGGGCACATGTTGCTCTGGCTTGAAGTTTTGTGTTCAGCCCTGCTTCTGTCACTTCTTTCACTCAGGGGTGGGCTGATGTTTCAAAGAAACCTGAACAGTCCTTAAGATGTTTGGTTTGAGGGACCTGGGATGCTGCCTGTGACTGTCACACATAGGGTTGAGGCAGTTAGTTGCATGGTCACTCACAGAACAGAAACATTACCAGTATTAATTCTACATTGAGAGGAAAGCTGGCGCAAAAGCTGCTCCTCGTTAGCTACATTGTCATTGTTTCTCAGATAAACCTAGACTAGCATTTATCTTTGAGTCACAGGTTTTGCTCTCTCTTCTTACTGCTTTAAAATTACTTGTTGGCTCAGTTCTGGACTCAACTGATAAAGAATAGCTTAGGACAAAATGGGGCTGTTCCCTATGCCCATAATGTGCATGCAGTATCTTCACAAAGTTGCAAAAAGCTGTTTTCGGTGTGCTTAAATACTTTCTTTAGAAACAAGATGGTCTGTTATAACCACTGTATTCAATTTTTATTCTGTTGGGGAAGGGAACATTTACAAGCAACAAAAATACAGCTTTAATTTACAAGAGAATTAAAAATAAAGGAACCACAGTCTATGAGATGCATTCATTTTCTGTAACAGTGTTCACCCTTATTCTTCTATTTAAGGAGAAAAATCAAATCTCCTTACTATTATGCTTTCTTGGTTTACCTTGAAACACAATTAATTTTGATACGGTGGGGGCATGTAGAAGTGTAAAACTGTCAAATTAATCTGAGAACAAAAAAAGATTATAACTTAATTTGACCCTCCTTTCTCTTACCTCCCACTCCATCCTTTCATGTTTCTTCTAAAGCTTGTAGAAGCAATTTGATGTTGACATTCAACTACACCACAGGGGTTTCAAAACAAAATTTGCATTGTAAATACTTTGTATTTTGTGCCTTATTTGACCACTGCCTACACATTCAGCTCTCCAGTGAATTTTCTGAGTACTTACTGCCAGACTTACACAGGTGAAAGCTTTCACTGCATTTCACAGAACTCGAGCAATTTCTGTTGCTTGAGGAAGCAATGCAGCAGGGAAGTTCAGCCTTAAGAGAAAAACCCTGTTAGCTGCTCATGGCTAGTGACTGTCATTGATCACGCTGGTCTGCACAAATGCGATGTTGTCCTTCTCAAGACAGTTTCTGGTGCCATTTATTAGAAATATCATGTAAAATCAACCAAGGCTAGGGGCTGAATCCTCTATATCTTTAACAGACAGCTGCCATGTCTATCTTTTCTACTCTTACGTGTAAGCCCAGGAAGCTAAACAGAAGGAAATGTACCAGCTTTACTGGTGCAGAGACCTACCTTCATTTTTACCACTGTCTTACAGGATACTGATGTAGAAAGCATAGTGATTACCATAGAACTTCCATGTGGAGAGTCAAAACAGATTATGGGCTGCTGCTTTTGGAAGGTGACACCGGAATGTAGACTCTGAATGATTATTTCCTCAGCAGATAGAAACTCAGGGGCATTCGGTTAAATTGCTAGGCAAAGGATCTGCAGTGAATGCAGTAGCACTTCTTTTCATCGTACGTGTCAATCATGCATAGAACTGCCATGGTGCATTATGGCTTAATATCCAGATGAGTTCCAAAAGTAATTAGGCAAAATAAAAGGAAAAGAGGTTTTGAACAGTGATCAGGATGTAACCTCCATTTTAGGAAGTTCATGAACTGCTGATGCCCTGCGTTTCTGTGGGTGACTAAATGCAATATCTCTGTAGGCTGTGTCTATCTGACAGCTTATTTGATTCTGTAAATAACATTCATAGACAAAATCTAGTGAAAACTTGCCTGCTGCTGTGACCAAAGTATTAAGCTAAAGGTGATCTGGGAATGTGATTCAGAAGATAGTTGAGCAGCATCCTGGGAGTGTGTGGAATCACAGTGAGACTGCTTTTCTAAAAGATGTACTAAGATTGTAAATTTTTTAGCCATGAAAGTGATGTAAAGACAGGAGTGCTGCCTACAGCCTGTAAGTTTGAATCTTAATTGTTTCCTGTACCACAACTTTAATAAAAGTAATTGTTAAAAACTTAACATTCTTTGTGTTCTAAAAAGATTTTAGAATTGTGTATACTGTATATAGAGGAATTTACTTTTTCTGTGTTATCTTGGCCTTAGCTATTGAAAGGACAAGGGGCAGTGGTTTATAAACTGAAAGAGGGACATAAGAAAGAAATCTTTATGGTGAGGGTGGGGAGGCGCTGGCACAGGTTGCCCAGAGTAGCTGTGGCTGCCCCGTCCCTGGCAGTGTTCAAGGCCAGGTTGGATGGGGCTTTGAGCAACCTGGTCTGGTGGAAGGTGTTCCTGCCTGTGGCAGGGGGTTTGGAACTAAATGAGTTCTAAGGTCCCTTCCAACCCAAATCATTCTGATGCTAGGAAGGAACAGAGCACAGATACTTGGGATCTGTTCAGTCTGCATTTGACTGTGGAACTTCCCTTCTATGAATGTTATCTAATTATGAGATTATGTATCAGTTATTATGGTCTGAGATATTAATATAAGAAATTATCTTCTTTAAAAAGTAAAAAAAAAATTTTAAAAAAAATTTGATTTAAACATTCAAAGACAATATAGTGTAACAGTATATGTACACCTTTGCTTCTTGCTTATTTGTAGACTTGTTCCTTCTTAATCACTTGTGAGGATCAGGTAGGTAAGCCTAGATTCCCTTGTATGAACATGGTAATCTGGTTTTAGGGGTTGAATTAAGGAAGAGAACCATTAAAAATCAAAGCAGTGAGCATACAAATGTCTGTTGATGATAGGGGTTGAGGACATACGGATTTATTAGTGGAATAACTGTGAAGTGAATCCATTAATTTGGAGTTAACCACAGACTTTAACCTTATAACTTCTGTAGCTTTTAACTCGTGTACCTTTTTTTTTTTTCTTATGGCATGTACCTTACGTTTTTTCTGCTTCATCTTGGACAGGATTACAGGCTGTCAATTTGCAGCAAATTATGCTATGCAATAGGAGGTGCCCCAAACCAAGTGGCAGGGAGTGCTACTGCTTTCTTCCTCCAGATCTACTTGCTAGACATAGCCCATGTAAGTAGTACAAGAAACCTTTGTATATTGTAGACTTACCTCAGTTCTGATGTTGTCAACATGTCACTGGAATGATAAATGGTGAGTTAGCTAATAAACCTTTTAAATTGTCTTGGTATTATTTCCTCTAGCTGTTCAGCATCCTGGAAACTGCATAAACTTGTCAGGAAATACATTTCTTTTTCTCTAGTTTAGTTTCTGTCATGAAGTGGCCTTTACTTGCTTTTAGTTTGGGATCCTTAGTAGATCTTTAGGAGCTCACACACTTGCAAACATGAGAGGAAGCAGTTCTCTTTGTGAAGAGTCAGTGTAATATATGAGACATCTGAAACATTAATAGCACCATGTTGAGATTGTGGAGTTTTGCAGATTTGGTTTAGTTACAAATCACTGCAGTTGCATCCAGTAGCCAACATAATTTCACAGAAATTTCGTGTGGTATGTCTAAGATAATTTCTTTGCAAAGAAAGCTGAGTTATTCTTTGTGAAGGTTCTTCCAGTCTGTGACTTTCTTGTGCAGGAGCAGACGTGGTAAAACAAAGCAGTAGGAGTCATCCCGTTCATCTGACTTTCAGCTGCTCCTGCTAGACCAGGACAGCAGAGAAAGAAAATCAATCCATAAGTATTTTTTACTGTTTTGGATTGTCTTGTACGTCTGCATTGTAACTAGGTGGGACCAATAAAATACTATAGGATAGAAAAAAGGATTTTAGGGACATGAGGCCAACTTGCAGTGACTGTGAGAACAGCTGTAGCTGAAACTATACGAGTGGCTTTCAGCAATGATGACACTATTTGCTGGAAAGAACGGGGGGCTGTGGATTAGATACCATTTTCCATTTTGCTATTTAACATGTACAAAAACAGGATATTGTGACTTGGGGAGTGGAAGTGTCCAAAAGATTGGCTTTATGGTTTTCCCATTAAAGTCTGATATCAGAAGCTGAAGTGTGACTTACTTGATAAAAATGGCAACACTTCCATCTCTGAAAGTGTTCAAAGCCAGGTTGGATGGGGCTTTGAGCAACCTGGTCTAGTGGAAGCTGCCCCTTTCCATGGCAGGGGGGGTGCAGCTAGATGATCTTTAACCAGTCCAAACCATTCTGCAATATCATGAAGCATGAACCAAATGAGAAAGACACTAATACAATTTTCTCAGGGTGCTTATAAATATGGCAATTTCCCAGCTCTCTGCTTATCCCGGAAACTGAAAATTTTTGAAGCTAGGGACTGTTTATTTCTTTTTGTGTTTGGAACCCCAGCTTTCTGGACAATATAAACATTCTTACATCTTCGGACACTACCTAAATAAATGATTTTATTTTGTCAACAAGTTCCTACTGAAACCCAATAATTTTTCTTAATGTTTGTAATGATACACTTCCTGCTTCATTAAGGGGCTTAATTATTTGTTCCTTGATGGAAGGAGGCAGGGGCAGGTTTTATTTCAAGGCCTAACAAACAGTTCTAAAATCCTGAGGTGTTTTCTACATCTTTTCAGGGGAGAGCATGTAATGTTGTAGTTACTCCCTATATTTAATTTTTGCCTAGTTAGAGATGAGTGAATTTAGCATATTTTATTAACACTGACAAGTTTCTGGTATTGGTGCTGACAGATACTGGCTACATTTAAGGGCTAAGAAAACAGAGGGATGTATAAGTCCAAACTGATGGTGAAGACAGTGTGACTGCACAGATGTCACTCCTAACATAAGGGAGGCTTTAATTTTCTTTAAGGCTTTCTGCCACCTTTCTTTAGTATCTACTTCCTTTCTGTCTATTCAGATTATTTGAACAAAATACCAGTGTGAAACCCACCTAATTTGAAGTTTTCTATCCTGTGTCCCTCATAACTACAGCATTTCAACCCCTATATCTTTCTGACTGGTATTTTGTTCCTGTTTTGATTTTCCCATCTCTTGAGAAGCAGTAGTGACTTCTGAGCAGTTCCAGTGCAGCCCCCCCTGGCAAATCTGCCTTAGGGTTGGTAGGCTACTTGCCACCCTAGCTGTGGGAGGAAAGGTGGGTGATGTGAACATCAGCAAACTGCTGTGGGACACAGTATAGTGCTTATCCCAGCCCTGTGCTACAGTGCAGCAATAGGATGCTTGAAGAGCCACTATCATTACCTGCTGCAGGCTACCATTCCCAGTCCTTCCCTGTTCATAAGCTTTCTAGTGCAGAGTATGGGTCTTGGAGGTGATGGTGTCAGAAAGATTGGCTGCCCCTACAATGTTACCTAATTTAGGCTAAAATTTAACAGGTGTGATTAAAAAGCACATAGCACCTGCCTTTTTATAAAGGCCATCGAGGACATTCAGAGATCATTGCTTTCTTCTTTCACCTCTAAGGGAATACCTACAGCAAATCCTTCACATGGGGACCTGCACCAGCTGGAAGCTGTGCAGAGCTCCCTAGGAGGCAATAAGCTCCATGGAAAAGCAGGAGATACTAGATCAAGCTTGATGTTGTATTTAGCAGCATTCACCAGGCTTCCTGCTGTGTCAGAGCACTGATAGCATGAAGAAGCATATAGATTAAGAGGGTTTGTCTGTCACTGTTTAAGCTGCATAGGATGTTTCAGCAGTCTCTGATTAGTTGATTTAAGGGATATTCATATTTGTATAGTTCTCAGTGACACTTTTCAGGCCTGTAGTTTCAGTGGCACAAACTGAGCACTTAGAAGAGAACTCACCTTTTTAAGCATCATATGATACGAGTTCCCAAGCTCTCTACAGATATATGGGAAAAATAACTACATTGTCTGGGATAAACTGTGTTTCTATATGGGCACTTAAGTATGATCCTCCTGGGTTAACTTCAAAGGTTTTTCTACTTGGCCATTTTATTCTTATGTAATCTGTGGACATTTTTCAGGTGAGATTTGTTGAACATGTGCTGGCAACTTACACTTGAACAGATGTGCCTTACGCAGTTTGGTTGTCACAGTTCAGTTCTAAGAGGATTAAGGCTGCTGTGCTAAAACCCCTGCCACAGCCACATGCCATCGGTTGGCAGCCTTGTTGGTAATCTCAGGAGATGCAAAAACATGAATGCATGTAAATAGCTCCCTCTACTTTTGTTTAGATCAGGTCAAGATAAAAATATGGGGAAATCAGGCTGTGTGGAGAACAAGGTGAGGGGATAATGACAGAAGGGACTCTGACAGATTTGTGATTTAAACAAGGACTTTAGTCTACTATTTTACAGTCTGACTGATTTTCCTGGTTCTAAACACATTCATAATCTCTCTTTCCTTGCACTTTTCCCTTCTAATCTCTTCTTGCATGGTGCCTGTTCTAATGTCTCATTTGTGTGCTATGGATAATCAATAGTAATTTGTATGACAGCAGCAGACTGTTTTGTAAATGAACTCTCATTATTCTTTGAAACACTGTTTTGTTTTTTCTGGAAAGTTGCTTTATGCTGTTTTATTGTGTTGTGAAACAATGGCTGTTGTTTACAGTATTCTGTCTGTACTTTCAGATAACTCCATTTCATGCCTCTTTGGTGCTGTTCATTGGCAAAGCCTCAGGTGCAGTTACTGATCCTGTTGCTGGCTTTTTTATTAGCAAAAGTAGATGGACAAAAATTGGACGGCTTATGCCTTGGTAAGCATCAATGTGTACATATATTTACATATATACAGGAATATATGGGAATATTGTGTCTGTGTTGTGATCGTGCAGTCGCCTTATTTATTTTGACCTCATTTTTCTTTGCCTGTTTCCCAGACAACAGTGATTGTATTCATTCTATCTATATAAAATCAAGAAGAAAAATTGTCATGTCATATATTTCCCTTTAACTTTGTCACCCGTGAAAACACAGAAGAGATTTTGTACCACACAAACAAATAAAGCCAAGACATCATGTTGTTAACAAAGCTGGAAGCTCAGATCTAAAACTTTCTTGAATCTGTAGTTGAATTTTCATCTTTATATAGATTTCTTTAGTTTGGCTTCACTCCTCCAAGAAATTAGAACTTGTTTATACTTGTGTCCTGGTGTGCCTTCACTTCTCACATCAGCCTCCCAGGAGCTCCATTAACTTTAAATCTCTACGCTCTCCAGTTCAGTAAAGGATGCGTGCATATGTGTGGAACAGATGTGATATCCTAGTGCTGAAGGGCTCAGCAACCAGCACTGCCCTGGCACTCTCTATGTGCCTCCTTACAGCACTTGTTCTGGTCCTACTTCTCTTGCATCTCTGCAATCAAAATACTTAATTACAGATCACCATGACTTTTATGATGAATAAGATGTAAGATTTTGATCAGCATTTCTGAAGAAGGGATTGTGTGATGCTTCACTGTGATGTACTTATTCCCTGTTTGCACTCTGGCTAGTACATTTGTGCATGTGCTGTCCATGTGCTACAGGGAGAGGTTAGAAGAATGAATGTTACTTGTGTAGGAAGGAGATTGATAGGTGTGAAGCAAGAAGATTGAAAAGGGTTGTTCCATGTTAGAGGAACCCAAGCTCATCTGTGCCATAGGGTATTTATTTTTTGGGGTTTTTATATTTTGGAAGTCAAGGGGAGAGTTGAGTAGGTTGTGAAACGGAGCAGTGCTGAAAGACTCCTTATCTCAAGCATTGTAAGGATATATTTATTGTAAGATATATGGAATTGATACAAGCCCCACACTTGATTCACAACAGAAATCTAGGAGTAAATGTGGTATGCTGAGCAAAGAAGTTGAATTTTCATGGAAAATAAACCCAATTTTTTGGATAGTGGCTCTCTTGCTGTCATGTGGTTTTACAGCTACAGAAACTTGTCTGTGGGCACCTTATATCTGACAAAGAATAGAAGGCAAGTACATGCTGGAGGAAGGCTGAGAGATCAACTGCTCCTGGCTCCAGCAGGAACAGGGCCTTCAAGTCAAAGATAAGCTTTTTGTCAAGAGCCCCATGGGAAAAGAGGAGCTTGCTGCTGTTTCTCTTTTCATGATTTGGTTTGTGGCCAGGTAAATGGAGTGCTTTTTAATGTGCACTGACTTAACTAAGCAACAGTTATTAAAAAAGAAAGGAATAACATTTTTATACAAATGCCATTAGATGTATTCTGATGCCTCTTCTTGTTTGTTGGTTTGGGTTTTTCAGTTTTCTGAAAATACTGCAAGTACATGTGTTTATTGTTACTGTTAAATCGATGTTAGCATAACTCCGTTCTAACAGAAGCATCAAAAGCTGAGACCAGGCCTATGCACTGTAAACCAATGACTACAATTAGCATTTCGTACAGGAAAGGTGCTTATCTAACCCAGCCTTTAATATGCGTTCAGCAAACAGCACAAAAATCCTTTCTTTCCAGAAGGATTTTGTCTGAATCTTTTTGGCAATAGTAATTCTTTTCATGGGAATTTTGTTCCTACACTTTGGAGGTCAGACCATATTTATACAAAGCAAAAAATAGGTCTTCCGTTAGCCAACAATACTTCAGTATTCTGAAATTCTTATGACTTTTTATATATCTAGAGTGAAGCAATGGAATTAGCTCAGTCAGCAAAGCAAGAACATTAGTAAAGAAGGTGAACGTTTAATTATAGCTTAATACTGTGCTCAATATAATAAGAATTCATCAATCACTACTGATCTCTTTAATGTGATGCGTTTAAAAGGCATAAGCAGACATTGACTTGAAATATCCAAACCTAGTCAAATGTTTTGTCAAAGGAGATAATAGACAATCAGATATTCAGCAACTTCAGCAAGGCTCTGAAAACTCACTGACATTAATAAGAAAAGAAGAATGTAGAAAAAGGATGTGGGGGGGGGGGGAATACTAAAAGGGTTATTGCTGAAAAGTTGCAAGAAAAACTCGCTATGAAAATGTTTTACTGTGGTGACTCTGTCTGGATATCAGTCAGTAAGAGCTCACATGGAGAGGAAGGTAGATTCCCAGAGATGTGTTAGGATTTTATCCATATTTTTGTTTTCCATTGCTGACTAGCTGTCTATGCACTCTGTTCTGGGGAATGGAGAATACCAGAGAATACCAGAACCTGGCACTTTCCTTGTAAATGCTCCACTCCCAGTGATGCATTCCAAAGAGCACTGTGGGAAAGCCATTGTTTTACTAAACTATTTACCCACATTACTCTTTTGTATTCCAGGTTTTGAGTTCACGATTGCGAAACAATCAGATGACCCCCAATGTCAGTAGTGCTGTTGTGAAAGGATTTATCTATTCTCCCTTGTATGTGTTTGGACATTTTTTAAATTGGGATCTTGGTCATCTAATTACATTGATTTACAAGAATACAGGAAAGTCCTGATGCTGCTGCAGCTCAGGCTTTTAGGATATAGTGGCATCAAACCACTTCATAGAATGATAGAATGGTTAGAGTTGAAAAGGACCTTAAAGATCATTGAGTTCCAACCCCCCTGCAGTGTCACCTTCCACTAGACCAGGTTTCTCAAAGCCCCATCCAACCTGGCCTTGAACACTGCCAGGGATGGGGCAGCCACAGGTTCTCTGGGTAGCCTGTGCCAGTGCCTCTTTCCCCTCACAGAAAAGAATTTCTTCCTTATATCTCATCTAAATCTTCCTGCTTTCAGTTTCAAACCATTCCCCCTTGTCCTCTGAAGTCCTTATCATGTCCTTCCATATCATGGAGTTTGACAAGTGTTTTTGCCTGAAATTAGTTTTAGACTAATATAATTAATTGCTGGTTAATGGCAATGTCTGGAATTTAATTTTCTGTGCTTCTTTTTTTTTAAGCCACCTTCCTCACCCAAAGATAATCCTTTTTTGTTTGAAGTGATTAGGAGTTTTGCTGCTGAGTTAAATAGAGCAAATTATAGAATCATAGAATCATAGAATAGTTAGGGTTGGAAAGGACCTTAAGTTCATCTAGTTCCACCCCCCCTGCCATGGGCAGGGACACCTCACACTGAACCATGTCACCCAAGGCTCTGTCCAACCTGGCCTTGAACACCACCAGGGATGGAGCATTCACAACTTCCCTGAGCAAACCATTCCAGTGCCTCACCACCCTAACAGGAAAGAATTTCCTCCTTATATCCAATCTAAACTTCCCCTGTTTAAATTTTAACCCATTACCCCTTGTCCTATCACTACAGTCCCTAATGAAGAGTCCCTCCCCAGCATCCCTATAGGCCCCCTTCAAATACTGGAAGGCTGCTATGAGGTCTCCATGCAGCTTTCTCTTCTCCAGGCTGAACAGCCCCAACTTTCTCAGCCTGTCTTCACACAGGAGGTGCTCCAGTCCCCTGATCATCCTCATGCCCCGCCTCTGGACTTGTTCGAACAGTTCCATGTCCTTTTTATGTTGAGGACACCGGAACTGCACACAATACTCCAGATGAGGTCTCACGAGAGCAGAGTAGAGGGGCAGGATCACCTCCTTCGACCTGCTGGTCACACTCCTTTTGGTGCATCCCAGGGTATGGTTGGCTTTCTGGGCTGCAAGTTCACACTGAAGCCGGCTCATGTTCATTTTTTCATTGACCAGCACCCCCAAGTCCTTCTCCACAGCGCTGCTCTGAATCTCTTCTCTGCCCAACCTGTAGCTGTGCCTGGCATTGCTCCGACCCAGGTGTAGGACCTTGCACTTGGCATGGTTAAACTTCATAAGGTTGGCATCAGCCCACCTCACAAGCGTGTCAAGGTCCCTCTGGATGGCATTCCTTCCCTCCAGCGTATCAACCGAACCACACAGCTTGGTGTCATCAGCAAACTTGCTGAGGGCGCACTCAATCCCACTGTCCATGTCAGTGACAAAGATGTTGAACAAGACCGGTCCCAACACCGATCCCTGAGGGACACCACTCGTTACTGGTCTCCAGCTGGACATTGAGCCATTGACCACAACTCTTTGTGTGTGCCCATCCAGCCAGTTCTTTATCCACCAAGTGGTCCATCCATCAAATTGATGTCTCTCCAATTTAGAGACAAGGATGTCATGTGGGACAGCATCGAATGCTTTGCTCAAGTCCAGGTAGATGACATCAACTGCTCTACTCCTGTCCATCAGTTCTGTAGCCCCATCATAGAAGGCCACCAAATTGGTCAGGCAGGATTTCCCCTTAGTGAAGCCATGCTGGCTGTCACCAAGCACCTTGTTGTTTTTCATGTGCCTTAGCATGCCTTCCAGGAGAATCTGCTCCAAGATTTTGCCAGGCGCAGAGGTGAGACTGACTGGTCTGTAATTCCCCAGGTCATCCATTTTCCCCTTCTTGAAAATGGGGGTTATAGTTCCCTTTTTCCAGTTGCTGGGAGCTTCATCTGACTGGAATCATCATATTATAATATATGAAATCATCATATGTTATCATATACCCAGGTAGATACCGACTGTAGGAACTTTTGCAGTGGACTGTCCATTATCTTCTATGCTGTTTTCAGCATTTTCAGGTCTATTGACATGTTTGCACTTGCTTGAAGTAGCAATGAAGAGGTGAAGTTGTGAGGAAAACTGAAGGCATTAAAATTGCAAGAGGGAATACTTGGTAATAAGTAGGCTCATATAAAAATTCCTGAATTATGCAAAGACGTGACTATAAAACTTAGTTTTCAGTAGTTCTTTCCTATAAATGTCTGAAATGTGCTAAGGCATGGTGTGCAGTTAACATTTGCTTGGGGTTTTTTTCAATTTCATGGAAGTAGTTGTATATTTTTATATTAATTTGTGTATTTAATGCACATTAATGTTTAATACTTTAAACCATGGCATTATTATAGTCAGAAAAATTGCACATAAAATAAATTGCATTATACTGACTTTTAGGAGGAAAATTTAATGAGTTTTGCTATCATTAGGTTGAGATTGTTGTTGTTTGTTAATCTTATTTGCAGGATGCTGGCATGTACACCCTTCACAGTAGTGTCCTACTTTTTTATGTGGTACCTGCCTCCTTTTGTATCAGGAAGAGTTGCATGGTACTTGACTTTCTACTGCCTTTTCCAAGCACTGACCACAGTAAGTAGATTACAGGCTGTGATGTTCTCAGCAGTAAGTTGCTTGTTTTCTATGTTAATGCATTCAGATTTAGTAAATTGGAATTTATAAAAGCTTCACAGCTGATGTCAACTTCCAGTAAGTTTAAGGGATAGGCAGATGTCCTTTTATCAGACTCTCTGCTGGTTGATGGTTTCTGCCAATGTTTTCTTTGGCATATGACCTGCTAACTTGGAGAGATCACCTCCATTTACTTTCATTGGCAGTGCCCTAGATACTCAACTCGTTCTTGTGTAGATCCACAGGGACACTCAGATTTTTAGATTCCTAATTCCAGTTAGATATAACTTCTCATAACTTCAATTTTCAGGAGAAGATTAGGAGGCCGAGTAGGCTTCTGGCTCTAGTTCTGGGTATTTTGAGTCAAACTAGAAGGCAATGGAAAGTCGGGGTAGCCTGGCTGAAATAGTACTGATAGTGGTCATCATGATATTTTTGCCTGATTAGAAGAGTTTGAGCAGATGATTCTTTTTTAATACAGCCCAGAACTTGCAATATTTATGCAGAAGCCATCATTTCAGTGGATCCCAAAGGACTTCTCTGACATGTTCCATACTGTACATGTAAGGCTTGCATCTGTTTCGTCTTGTAGCCAGTATCAAGGTGAAACAAGGTCTCTTCTGTGCAGAGCAGTAGCACACAGCAGATTAGGACTTGAAGTGCTACAGCTGTATAGCAATTTGGACGGGTGTGTCCTTGCTGATTGATTTTCACTGGATCACATCTTGGAAAAGTGGTTGCCAGACTTTTAAATTGTATTTCTTGTTTGACTTTGGCTTTTCTCCTCTTTAGGTGTCTGTTGGACCTGGGAATTCTGTATTCCTGTATTAAGGTGGAATGTTTCCCTAGATCCTTTGTTTTCTCTGTAGAAAGAGGGTCCAGAATACATTCATAATTGCTTAAAATAATGTTCTTCCTTCTCTCTTTTTGAAGGAAAAACACAGGTTTTCCATGGCAGAGCTTTAAAAGTGTATACACTTGCCATGTTTGATGGAGGGGAACAGAAATGCATTTTGTATGAACAGAGTAGGATGAGAATTACAAAAGTTAGTTTGCCTAATTACAGATCTCTGTGGTGGTGGAAACACCACAGATAATTTGATGACTCAAGCAGGTTCACATCACACTTCCACTTCACAGTAGTCTGAGAGTTTGGCCTGTATGTTCCAAGATTTTAGAAGTGGTTTTTATTTAAGCTCAACTCTATGAGGACAGTGTCCCACTCACATCATGACAAACCAAAAATAGGGTCAAGCCTTTAGTCTTCAGTAGTTATTTTCAGTGAAGTACTACTGGAGATAAGGCTTGTCCTACAATAAAAGTGGGGCTCATTTACGTGGCATTGAAATAAATAAAAAAAAAACACACAAAAAAAAAAATATTGCGAGTGCATTGTTTCCACCCAGATTTTACAGCAAGGTACCAATAGCATACTAGATACAGTGCTGTAAAAACAAACAAGCAACACTCCTCATCTACCTTTTTGTCAGTGCATGCACACAGCAGTTGGGTGTTTCTACCTATTCTTAAATTAAGAAGTGTGCAACAAAATGGTGCTGAAAACAAAGTAGTTTTCACAATTATCTCCTAGAATTAGTGAGACAGGTATTTGAAATTCTTTGGTGATTCAAGTCTTCTGTATTGAATAAAGTGGAAGATTGCATTGTCTTCATTATGGCTTTACTTCCTGTTATTTAGCTCAAGCTAGGAACATTATAATTACCTAGCACAAAGAAAACTAGATGTTTTATAACCTATCTATAAAGGAAACTTACCCAAGGAAGCTGAAGGAGCATAGCATTAAGGTACAGCCTCCTGGTAATTTATTATTTACTATTTGTGTTATGAAAGATACTTTTTTCCTTTTATATACTTTACAAAACATAAAGAAAAGAGAGGATCTTGTGCTAAAAATAACAGTGTTCTAAATACGTGAATTCCAATGTGGCATTAAACAATTTTCCTGGATATCAAAGGAATACAGCATTTACCCTGACATTTCCTTAGTGATGTTTTTTCTTTACATAGTTATTCCAGGTACCGTACTCTGCCCTCACCATGTTTCTCAGCACAGACCAGAAGGAGAGAGATTCTGCAACAGCGTACCGTGAGTGTGATCTGGGCTTTCTCATGTGGAGTAGGGCTGAGGTTTATTTCAAATCATTCTTCATTTATAGGCAGTTCCTAATGGTTTGTGTCCCTAAACTGGACTTTTATATGAGATGTTTAGTATCTAATGAAAACTGTTTTGCCTTGTAAATGCTTCATTTTTCTAGCTAAATGGGTGACATTATTGTTAAATTATCTGAAAAAACTCTTTCGGGTTTATTGTTAGCCAGGCAGAACAGTAAAAATCAGTCTTACCCAACCTAGGGTAGGGAATAATGATTTAATTTAAAGGTGATTTTTAGTGGAAAAACCAAAGTGCTGGTCTTCATTAACATGGTCTAGTGTGAGGCTTCCCTGCCCATGGACTTAGGGATTGGAACTGGATAATCTTAAGGTCCTTTCCAACCCAAACCATTCTATGATTCAATTAAAGAAACGCTGAAAATAATTTTAAGTATTTCCTTTCTTTTTTTGTTTATTTTTTTTTCTTTTCAGTTCAGATTTCTTTAGGTTTGTGTGTTTCATGGTGTAAATTCAAATCCCAAACCTATTTTCTCTGATAAAGTTTCTAGAACTCATAGAACCACGACAATTAGCCTCATCAGAAAAGGAGAGTTATTTTGTATGCATGTTCACACCAACTGAAGTCTCTTTTTAGTTCATTTGTGTTTGTTTAATTCTAATTTAAACCAAGTAGTTTAAGGACAGATCTTGCTGTGGTATAACTAGCATTCTGTATTAGTTAAAAGAATGAGGGTTTCCAGACCGTATCTCTGGCTCTTTAGCAACCAAAACCAGATGGTTTTTGCTTCGAAGCAAATTGATCAGACCAAAAAAGTGCAATAAAAGTGTTTCCAAGGTTTCCTGTATAGATCATAAATTGAATGTAAGAAGTTTCTTCCCATCCTGTTCTCTTCAGCTCTGTTCTCACACCTTCTTTCCTATGTAACTGCTGTCTCTCGTGGCCACCAGCATTAAGCAAGGTAAAGAGAAAAGAGTTAGATATCACATTAAGTAATTTTATGTTTTAACTTGTCCTTCAGTGTTATTTTAGAATAACTGTTGCAGCAGTTTGCTCTTCCTGGCAAGACCGCTTTTCTCTTCCATTAGTCCTAACCCTCAGCATACATGCTTATGTTGAAAACTAGACCACAGAGGTGCAATGAAATGGCCAGAAGTACCAAAAAAAGTAATGTCAGAAATTCTAGATACAGCACCCCCTGAGCAACCCAATCCCTTTCGAGCATATGGAACAGTTGTAATTTGCATTATCATTAACTATCTCAAGAGAAAGTTTGGGCTAGCAGTCACAGGACAGGACTAAACAGTGAGGGATTCCAGTTGTGTTATATTCTTTGGCACTGATTGTATTCTGAGTCATCTGCCCTAAATTCTAACAAAATCCATGTACCTAGTGTTTTCTGTTGTCTGGTTTTATGTCTTCAGAGGCTGTGATCCAAATAAATGTACTTTCCTATGTGCTAGTCCCATGCAAGGCTTCACAGGCATATGAAATCTGTGCTCATAAAAGCTGTTGAACTCTATGGCTGAGAGGTGTACGCATTTATAGTGTCATTTTAATGTTCAGAAAGGCTTTAACTTTTGAGTGTACAGCTGTTCTCCTAAGCCAAGTTAGGGTGAATAAATGAATCATAGTTTTGACTTTTCAAATGTTGATATTTTTGTATATTTTGAAATTATGTTTGTTTGGAGCAAGCTTTCTTGTAATGACAATGATTATGTGAGAATCTCCCCCCCCCCCCCCTTTTTTTTAAATACTTCAGCCTCTCTCTGGGTTTCATAGAGAATTCTTCTTGTTGATAGACTTTCTTGGATGCAGTCAGTTGTTCAGGCATTTCTTCAACTCTTTAAAGAAAACCAGCTGTGTAATATGAAGTGTGCTTTAAAAAACAAAAAAGGTTGGGATCAGAGGTTCCATTACCCTCTGCTGGAGACAAGCAGAACTGCTCAGTACAAATTTTGTCCTGCTTCTCACTGTGATTCCTAAGTTGCTTTACCATAAATCCTACTTACATTCTAGGCAAGATATAACCTACTTCAAGGTACAGTCTGCTTTCTGAAACATCAGCTTTCTTGGCTAAGTGGAAAGTAATAAATTCTAAATTCTGAGCACATAAGAACTTTCAAATGTACCTGTTCCTCAGTTCTTGCTACTTCTTAGAAAGTAAGGTTTCATAATGGTTGTACTTCTATTGCCTCTGATGATGCTTCTGAGTTTTATTCTATGCAAGTGCTTGGTAAAATGCAGATGTAGAGCCCTAATGAAGATTATAGATGTGTAGGTGGTGTTTTGAATGAAAGGTATTACTTGGGTGCATTGCCTTTCCACTGAGTAGTCAACTGTTTTGAAGCTCTGCAAAGCCCAACTGAGACTGTCAGATAAGGTTGAGGTCAGGATTTTCACCATCTGTCAGCATTTTTGTATGTATGGACTGAACTGTAATATTGCCAGTAAAACTGAATGTGAAGTTTGGGGAAGAAGCTGTTATTCTTTTACTTCCCGTTGGTTTCAGTTAATACCATGTGAAGCCTCAAATTTTCTATTCAGAAACATTTTCTATTTGGGAGCATACTAGCAATGGTTTAAATGATCCAAAGTCTCCTAAGGACCCTGTATCTTTAAGCAAAATGTGTAAATAGTGCCTGGAGACAGAACAGGAATTTGGTTTATGTCCCTACCATGGGGATGCTGGGTATGGCCACATTGCATGGAAACAGAAGTGGCAGGCTTGAAATCCCTCAGGGTGAGAAGGGACTAGAACCCAGCTTACTCACCACTTGCCTGCAGTGGAGCTGTAACAACTAACCACCTTGTTGACTGATTTTTGAGTACATGAAGCATGATCTGCATGTCCATGGTCAGATCTTTACTGTCCCAAATAGAGGCTTTGGGTTTTTTTTTTTTTTTAGATGATTCCTTATTCTTATGGTGCTTGGAGTGGTAGTAGTCTGAATAATTCACTGAGACTAAGGTAGCTAGTTCTGCCTTACTCTGGCCTTAGACAGTTAGGAGTGGCATCTACTGTTTCCAGGAGCTTGGCAGCTGTATTATTTCCAACATAAGCCTGATGTAAGTACTGTTTTATTTTACCAATTGGAGAGCCTATAGGTCTAATCAGATAAGTGGCTTGAAAAATGTTTCACAAGTTACTGTCAAGCTTAAGATGAAAAGCCTGATGTCATGGCTCCTGGTCCTGCTTCAGAATAGTGGCATTCAACATTTAAACTGTAGTTTTCTGGTCCTCGAGATGAAAGAGGTTCCTGTGTTATCCACTTGTGGCTCTTAATCTCAGCTGCGTCCATCATGCAGCTTGAATAAAAGCAGATCTTCCATGCAGACTTCTAAAAGCTGATCAGAAAACAGATTACAAAATTCTGTTTCCATGAAACTGTTTTATTACTGGCCATCTTGTTTTGATGCTCTTAGTATTGCATTTTCTGGCTGTTTCCTGTAAAAGAAAATGGTTTGATGAGGTTTCTTTTCAGTGGGACAAATGAGCAAGTCTGCGGTCTGTGGAGGAAACAAATTCTCATGCTCAGTGCACATTTGTGCTTGCTTCTTTAGGAATGACCATGGAAGTGCTTGGGACCTTGATTGGAGCTGCACTTCAGGGGCAGATTGTGGCCAGTGCTCATGTCTCTCATCACTGCACTGTGAATCCCCCAGTAAACACAACTGACTCCTGGTATGACACTTCCAGCTTTCCAGACACTTCAGATCCCTTGTCTCATCAAGTAAGCATCTATGGGAGCACACTAAAATCAATAAGGGAGGGGGGGGTGGGGTTTGCTATATCTGTAATACCTTATCATATCATCCAGCCTGATGAAAATAAACGTGACTTCCTTGAAATCAGTAACGCTGGAGCTGAGACAAGGACCTTGTTGTGAATAAGACTTCCCATCTGTTGTCTCTGCAACCACTTCTCTGTGGTGGCAGCAGATTTACACTGATGAGCTTTGCTGAAGATGCCAAACTGTAAAGTAGCTAGGAGGTACATGACCATTCTTTGTTTTCACTATGGGCTGATTCACAGTTTAAAATAGAAGCTTAGTGAGAAAAGCTTACTTTACCCTGCCAGGAATGCTGCATCCAATTCTGGGGTCCACAGCACATGTGAGCCTGTTAGAGCAGATCTCAAGGAGGACCACAGAAATGATCAGAGAGAGGGAGCGCCTCTCCTTGAGAGAGTTGGGGTTGTTCAGGCTGGAGAAGAGGAGACTCTGGGGAGACTGTTGTGACCTTTCAATATGTAAAGGGGACTCATAAGAAAAATGGAAAAAGACTTTTTATGAAGGCCTGTACTGACAGGACAAAGGACAATGACTTTAAACTGAAAGAGGGGAGGTTTAGATCAGAAATTAGGAAGAAATTCTCCACTGTGAGGCTGGTGAGGCACTGACACAGTTGCCCAGAGAAGCTGTGGCTGCCCAATCCCTGGCAGTGTTCAAGGCCAGGTTGGATGGGGCTTGGAGCAACCTGGTCTAATAGAAGGTGTCCCTGCCCATGGCAGGGGGTTTGGAAGATGATCTTTAAAGGTCCCATCCAACCCAAATAATTGTGTGATTCTGTGAAAAAATGGTGGCTGTAATAGGATTTTTCAGGTAAGCAACACTGCCTTTCAAAGGAGTTATTACTGGGGTTCTCCTCTAAAGATTAATAGTTTTTACGTGAATGACACTGGAAGTCCTACCTGGATTCTGTATTCTTGTGAAGATACAAAGCATGTTGAAAGTAAATGGTTTCTAACAGGCAATTAGTGGGAGCAGCGCTCAGTGTTTAACACATGGAATGAACCTAAAGAGCCATGCTTGTTTATTTAATTTTCCACAGCAGATTTCTCCTGTAATCCTGCACAAGTAATTTAATCTCTTCATGCTTCAGTTTGCTATTTTTTGAGAAACAGAGAAGGTTTTATATCTATGAGGAAATCCTAAAAGCTGATCCAAACTTCGGTGAACACAATTTGATAATCTTCCATTGTTTCCAATGATCTTGAAACAGGGCCTGAATCAAACAATTACCTTGTGTAGTGGTTTGGCTTTTTCCTGTGTCACTTGTGAAATCATCAATTTTTAAGTTCCATTTTTACCAATTGCGAGGTTCAGTGGTTTTATATTTTCATCTCTTTCTCTGTCAAGTGCATATACTGATATGTAAGATTCCCATGAATAAGATTCCTCGACCTGAGTCTAATCTCAGTTGCATGGTGCAAACTGAGATGTAAGTATTTGTGCTCTGCTTATTGTAGTTGAGTATCTCCTATTCCCACTCTTCAGCAGCAGTAAACAAGATTGCTGAATATGCTTGAGTATTTCACTAAGTAGCTGGGGTAACAAGCATGCAAGTAACCATATTCTTAGAACATTGGCATGAAAGTGTGATTTGTAAAATTTATTAGAGCCTAAAGGAAGTTTTCTTATTATTGTATTATACATAATACAGTAACTGTACTAATTATGGTTGCATCAGCACTAGGGCCTTTCCCACCCAGAATGAAGATAAAGATTGTAGTCTATGTAACTGGATCAGCTGGATTTACTAAAAGTTAGAATCACTCCACTGATGCTGCACATTTTTGATAGATCTCTGTTTGTGTCTGTAGGTAGTCTCACAGCTGCTTTTTTTTTGTTTGTTTGTTTTCCAGTAAATCTATACTTACGTGCCTTGGATTTATCCTAAAGTACATGTTGTTTATAAATGACCTGCAGAAGTGAACATTTTTTGGAGGGGTAAAGCACAGGGAATTGGCTGTCATAGAAAGGCATTTCTTCATTTGCAGATGGCTCACGAGAAAGAGGCTGAGATTTCCATAATGGCTTGTCATTCTTCTGTCACAATTTCAAATATGCCTTTTTTCTCTTCAAAGGCAAAAGTTTATATGATTGCAGCAGGGGTCATAGGATGTGTGTATCTTCTTGGAATTATCATCCTTTTTCTTGGAGTAAAGGAAAAAGATGGTAAGATATATTTAAATTTGTCTAGATTTAATAATAATTATTTCACATTCATCTCCAGAAAAGATTGCTATTTTATGTATTTTGCTCCTCTTAGATCCTTATGCCTTAAGTTCAGACAGAGCAATACCTTTTTGTAAGGGGCTTGGACTCACCATGAAGCACGGTCCATATGTGAAGCTTACAGCTTCATTTCTTCTCATCTCAACAGCAGTTCAGGTAACTTTCAGGCTCTCTAAGTCTGTGTCTTGGCCTCATTCCAGTCTCAGTATGGGAGAGTCTGCGGCAGCTAAAACGCAGATGACCTTTGGCTAATGTCTGGAGGTGGTGATCTGGGGGGTGGTGCATTCCCTTACAAATCAGCCAGGAACCAGAGTCCTTTTCTTGGTGCCTGGGTTCCTGTGCAGCTGGAGATGGTTCTTTCAAAGGAGAAGCAAAACCAAAGTCCTGACCATTTAAAAATGGCTTGGTTTGGTTTTTTTTTTTTCTCCATAAAAGGTGAGGAGCTAGTCCTAGTGACCCAGAGGGTCATTATATGTTATCTATCAGGTCTCCTGCAGTTTCAGTTGCTTAGAGAGCACTTTTTCTCTTCTCTCTGTTCTTCTCTATAGTGTGTGCCCCTTTAAACCACTGCCCCTTTCCTTTGTATAGGTATCTGTTCTCAGATAGTGGCTGAACTGGTTCTTATGGAGTCTTTATGATAAAAGGCATTAGGTCAGAGTAAGATAAGATGATGTTCAGAGGCAGGAGGCCTCACCTGTCTCAGGACTAGATAGAATTAATTTTCAAATGAGGACCTGCAGTTGAATGTGGCTCTTGCAAAAAGAGGTAATACATCTTCCATAGAGAGAAGCTGTAGAAAAATTTAGAGCCACTCAGTAAGAAACCCTTAATCCCCATAGCCCAGCAGTCCTTTTAAAGCTTGATTTTTGAGCTATGGTCAAATCAGTAAATATGTTGTTTTAATGTGAATCTGTACATACCAGTTGAAGTTGGCTTTATTTTAAAACACAAGTGCATTTTTGTCAACAAATTCTTAGTCACATGCGCCACTGATTGAGTGAATATCAGGATAGAGGGCAAGAACAGGGCATGTAAGAGAGCAGCACTGTGTTCACCAGCAGTCCTGGTGAATTAGTAAATTTCTTGGAAGGGCTGTTTAAAAGTCGGTTTCCCAAAAAAGCATGGAAGTTTCAGGTTGGCCTGGATTTGGGCACAGTTAGTAGGCTGTCCTTTACAGCATCTGTCAGTCCTTGCTGGAAGCCCAAGGACGAGAAACAATAGCAGAGGTATTTCTGCTTACCTCTGGGAGCTGCAGGCACAGCAAGCAACAGCAGAGATAACGAGAAGATGAAAGATCCCTTATGGTCCAGATCCTTCCAGCATCCACTCAGTCAGTAAGGATACAGTGCACATTTGGTTGTTGGCAGCCAATTACTTCTTGACAATACCTAGAGAGGAAAAGCTCTTCTGGCTGTCCATATATCTTCATTTTTCTTTTTGAGCAAACTGAAGGGAAGGTGTGAGGGGAGGAAGAATCTGGGAGCTCTAGTTCAGCCATTGTTTTTCAAGGGAGGACACTGGCTTTGTGGAATTCAGTTAGTGGATTATTGGTGAACAAAGGAATAGGCAGGTAAAGATGCATTAGCTGTGATCCCATAGTGTGATACTCTACGTCTAAAACGAAGGCAGTGTAAACTGGTTTACAAACAAGGGAAGGCTTTGGTGGCAATGGAGAAGGGATATAACTTTTATCCTAATTTATATGCAGATTATTGGCCACTTTTAATCTACAAGTGCCCAAAGGAGCAAGAGTTGATTGTAGTACTGTGGCATGAATATTAAATCCTCTGCCACTCCCCTTCTGCAGAATTGCTGCCGGTGGGCCTGAGCCATATTCTCGTGTTCAGAACCCCTTTGAGTTCTGCTAAAGCATGGTGGCAGTGGCTTCACAAAGCAGCTAGATCTTCCATCCAGTGAGTATTTGAATGAGAGATATCTGACCCAAAGATACATCCATAGCCAAGGCGATACACAAACCCAGCAGTTAGCTGCTTTACTACAGGAAGCTGGCATGAACATAATTCCAGGTGAAGAGTAACTTGTTTTGAAGTCAGAACTCCTGGTGAAAGGTTTATAACATTGCTATGGAAAAGGAAGGACTTATTTCTTGCAGTAGTCTGTAGCTGTGGCTGTGACAACGCCACAAGGCAATTGCAACACAGGGAATAAAGCCTTTAGATAGAATCCTCTCATAAGGCAGTTCCTGTTTTGGTCATTTTTATGCTGTAGTAGGTGCATGGTTTACCTCTTGCTTGACACAATACAGTTGGCATGTCACTCTAGTGACAGGAGGAGATTTGTTGCTTTTTTTAAGCTGTTGCAAATGTGGGAAGAATGAGACTCCCAAATCCTACATTTAACAAGAGTCACCAACTGTGTTTGACTGGTATAGAGCGTGACATTTTTGTCTTTTTTAATTTTCTTTTCTTTTTTGGTGGTCACCAAATGTTTTCAACAGTTGGAGCAGAGCAACTTTGTCCTATTCTGCACTCATGCTGCTGATCTTCGCAGTCACTTCCAGTATTTGGTAGTGACCATCTTGGTGAGTTGCACATTTCTGTCCTGTATTTTTATTTGATAGCTGGTTCTCACTGGTTTCTGGCACAAAATAACGAAGACAAAAGGAGTTTTATGTCTAGACAGAGCTGTTGAGAGGCTACACTATTTTTTCTTTTGCCAGTTTGGAATAAAGCTGGTGTTCCCTGCTGTACTTCTAAAAAATTAATGCTTTGAAGCTTTTCATTTGTTCCTTGCTGCTTTTACCTGTCAGTCACTTTCTGCTCCTATAAAGGGCAAAAGCTGCTGCCAGAAAGGAGGTCTGGAATTTTAACTCCTTTTCCCTTTTCCCACTCTGATATGCAGAGAGAGATATGAAGATTAAACAACTTTAGTTTGTGTATTCATACATATGAACCTTCTGGGCTAGGCAGCTTGCAAGGATAAATATTTGAGATATACAGAGATACGAAGATTCCTCTCCAAAGCAGTCGGCAATGTGATAAAAAGATCCTTTTAGAGAACCTTTTTTTTCTTGCAGAGGTAGAATTCTGCTTGCTTAGGTGATACTTACAATTCAGTTACACACTGCTCCTGTATTGCATTATTTATGTTATGATTGCAAGTAGTATTAGTTGAAAACTTCATGCTTCTGACCAAAGCCCTTTTAACACAACATTTAAAGTTGCATAATTCCGAGGATATGCATGTGCTGCAATTTTGAAATATTCTATAGAGAATTCGTCTGCCATGTAGAATATGGCAGCAGTCATTTTCAGGGAAGCGTTACTTGATTTCTGACCCATTTGGCAGGGAGAATTGTAGAAACATGTTAGGGAAACTTAATTTCCACTTCTTTTTCCCAGCCCCCCCCCCCCCCCCTTTTCTACCCCTTTTTTATTCTTCCTTTCCCGTGTTATAAGACAGATCTTTTCCAGTGATTAAAACAAAAATGTTGGAGAGCAAGGGATGACTGTTGGGCGTCTTGAGGCTCTGCAAGTTGTGGACACCAAGCAGAAAGACAAGAGACAGTAAAGTCAGTAAAGAGTGGAATATAACTGAGATAACATTTTAATTTAAACTGTAAGACTGTCATTAGTAGTAATAATTCAGTGCATTGTTACTGTGTTGCCCTGTTGTTGTAAGTGGTTGTTGTTGCTGCTACCAGGTGAGTATTAGAGTATATGAAATGGTAAGTAGCTATTGGTAAGCAGCAGAATGTAAACAGCTATTTCTCTCAGAGGTTGTTCCTAAGACAAAACATGTTGTATGGGATATAGAATCATAGAATCATAGAATAGTTAGGGTTGGAAAGGACCTTAAGATCATCTAGTTCCACCCCCCCTGCCGTGGGCAGGGACACCTTAAGCTAAATCACATCACCCAAGGCCTTGTCCAGCCTGGTCTTGAACACTGCCCGGGATGGAGCATTCACAACATCCCTGGGCAACCTATTCCAGTGCCTCACCACCCTAACAGGAAAGAACTTCTTCCTTATATCTGTTATATATGTACTGTAAGTATATCTTAAGATAAGTGTATATTGTGCTTCAGCTTTCTTCCTGTATGATGGGGTAGACCTGAATTTACTTATCATTTGTGAGGCCCAGAGAATGAGGCAAAACACATTAGCAGGAAATATGACTGTTTGCAATGTGTTTGAGCTTCAATGACTCTGTCATGTGTAGTTTTAGCTGTGGTGGCTTACAATAGGAAAAGGAAATTTTAGGACACTGCCTTCTGGTATTTGACCGTGGAAAACCCTCTGAGGCTTTTTTGTTTGTAGTAATACATAATAGTGAATAATAAACAACAAAAAAACCAACCAAACGCTCAAAGGATGAGGAGAAACAGGAAACTGCAAGTGCATCTTCCTTTCAGGCTGTAATGTATTAGACAAAAAGATGTCTGTGAGCTCTACAGCTGAAGACAACCATGGCAGTAAGCACCATGCAGGTATGTTTTTTTTGTCCACTGTAGATATCAGCAGCTGTGAGCATTCCTTTCTGGCAGAAGATTCTGCAGCGATTTGGCAAGAAGTGCGCATCATTTGGGATTGCGGTAAGCAAATTTTTTGAGAGAAAAATCTGCTCACACTCACTTCATTTGACAACTGGAGCCACTTCAGGAGCTCTTTCAAGTGTTTATAACCTCAAGCTACATGAAATTTGCTCAGTTTCAGAGTTCGTTTTAAATCATTGTACCAAATTTCAGACAGATTCCAAGTTTCCAAGAGAAACTTTTGAGAAATGGATTGATGTTGAAGGGAGGCTCCAGTTTATTTAAGAATCTTTACAAGCTCTGCATTTGTCTGCACTCAGAAGTGAACCCCAGTGAGGTTTTGTCAATCTGAGGCAACACAAGTCTGAATTTATAAGTTATCTGTTGTATAAGGCTTGTTTTGTCCTTGTATATGGTGCTGAGTTGACCACATCTGTAATGCAGTGGCAGAGGAGAAAACAGAAGTCTGTTACACATCCTTCACCAGAAACGTGAGAAGGAAGGGGTTTCCACATCCCTCTGAACAGAGATGGACATGGACAGTTATTAGTGAAATAAAGAAATAGGTGACCTACCTGAGAAAAGAAGTCTGGTTTAACTATTACACAGCTCGGCAAAGATGGCTCAGTACACCTGACCTCATCTCTGATGGATTCTTTTAAGTCCTTCACTTACTGCAGACAGCAGCAATTTTCTGTCATCATCCTCAGTGAGTCATTGTGTAGGCCTGTTCCTCCCTATTTTTCCCGTTTACCTTCAATTACTTATGAAAGAGGAAAGAAAAATTGTCTGCCTTGTGCACAACAAAGCATAAGGACTTGGAAAATCCAGCCTGAAGTTGTATGTCAAAATCTGAACAAAGCCAAAAAATTTAGGTCTGGTGACAATTATTGAATATAATTGAACAGTTATATTTTTTTTTAAATTAAGATCTGTGTGTTGGAATGACTTTCAAAGAATCAGAAGTAACTTCAAAACCCAAGTTCCAAATATTGGAACATTATGTGTTTTGAAGTAGGCATCTGGAATCCAAGTCCCGTCCTCATTTCTTTTTATCACTTGAGCAAAGAGAATTGCCAAAAGCAGTATTGGACCACTGACTGGACCAGGGAATGCAGACTTCCTCTGTAGGAAATCTCTGTCTACTTAGCCACAAAATAAGCTTTCTTCAACCAACTTGGCTCTGTAAATTTAGTTTAACATGACTGCAAAGCCTGTCAGCACCTCTGTAAACATGGTTTAACTTAATTTTACAGTCCAGTTGGTTGACTGTATTATGGTGTAAATGGGGGCTGGACTGAAAGAAGTCATCTTTCTCTTTCACCTTGTAGATGTTTCCTAAGGGACTCTCTGTGTGCTCAGTGATGGATTTTGTGTCTGGCAATGCAGCACAGGGGCTTCCTATACTACCACCTTGTGTGATTGGTTCAGCTAATCTATTCTGTCACTGTGAAATAAAATCACATCATTTAAGGCTCCTACTTTTGTCATTGGGGGATGTCCTTCTGGAAAGGAAGGAGGCAGGGCAGAAAGCAGTGGGTTTTTTTTCTGCAAAACGTCACTCAGCTTTCAGGGTGAAGATATAATTTGAAACTCAGTTTCCTTGGAAAAAATAAGATAAAAGAAAAATCACACTGTTCCAGACTAATTTTCCCTGTTAAAGTGGTTGTATGTTGAAGAGACCCTTTACAGAGTATAGAAGACAGGGTAGATAAGCAACAAGAATCTTGGCTTCCTTCCACGGATATTGCTCCCTTTTTACTCATTCCTCCACAAGAGGTGACCAGCAGTCTAAGTGCTGACTAAATATCTAAACTTCCCAGAATTTTAAAGCTTAGACTTTCTAGAAGTACAGGGTCGTATGCAAGCAGGATCCTTGATAGCATTCTTCCCATGATCAGGTGCACAGGATTATTCTCTTCTGCTTCTGTGTGCTGTGTTCATTTAGATTGTCTGCTCTGCCCTTACAGGGCAAACGTTGAACTTAAAATCAGTAAGTCTGTCTGCTGGTAACTGGAGGTAAAGTAATGAGAAATTTTAAGAAGTGTGGCAGCTTTTTGGCTCATGGTTTTGACAAGGTGTCTGAAAGTGGAAGATCACGCTCTCTCACAACTCTAGCTCCCATCTAGCCAATAATAGCTTTTGACTGTAGATTCTGGAAGATTTAGTAAAAAATAAAAACAAATCCAAAATGGCCACCGGTCTTTTCACCTTGCCATATATACACTGTTGTTTATTTGCCAACTATCAGCACTGTGCAGCATGGAGGCACATCCTTGGATGCATCGTGGCTGTGCAATCCCTTTTCCCCTCTCCATTCACATTTCCATTCACATTCTAGCTGCACCTTTTCCTGATTTGCCCTTTGTAACGTGCTGCTGCCCAGGCCAGTAGTACCTTCAGCATCCCAGAAGAGTGGCCTTCCATGGTGCTGTTAGGGAATGGATGGAAGACACATGATAACTGTAGAATATTGTTTATGACTCAGAGGGCAGCCGCTCTGTGACTAGGGAGCAGAGTGCAAATAATGGAGTGCTTGCTCTGCAAGTAGAAAAGAAGGAGGTGCATTAGCTGTTTATTGCAGCAGGAACGCTGCCCCAGTGATTCTGCTGCCATTGCATGAGTGAGACTTTAGGGCATTGTAGCCTCAGTCCTCTGAGCCATGCTTCTCTTTCAATAGAAAATTACACTTACAATGGTGATTATTATTATCAATCTAGACTTTTGTTTAAGTGCTTTGTTTTCTGGTTGGGTACCCCATGTGGAGCATAAGACTGTCATAAAATTGCTTATAGGCAACATAAAATCTTGTATTGATGGAGTGCTCTCTTGTGGTGAAATAACGATTTTGCTACAACATTGGGCTAGTGCAAGGATTAGCTGTCTGTGCTGGGAACCTGCAGTCAGGAAAGGTTATTTTCTGCCTCCTTAGGTTAGGATCAAATGCTTTAGATGGGAAATGCATTTAAAACATAAACATAATGGATTAGACTCCAGGACTCCCAGAATCACTTACCATACAGTTCTGTAAATAGCAGCGCTTAGGGGAATCACTGTCTGTGAAAGCTTTTCTCATACCTTCAGCCCCCAGCCCGCAAGTATAGAGGATTGAAACACTTAATGTTAAACTAATCCCCCATCATTAAAAAGCCCTGTAGATAAGCCCCTGGTTCTGAATTCTGCATGTGCTGTGCCCATGGTTCATAGGCATGGGAGATGGAACATGTATGGGACAGCTGGGCTGTATGCATTCAATCAGCATTTAAAAGTGGATTTTCACTCCTGTAAGCTGATTGCTTCAAGCTGAAGTTGGGGAAATCTGGTGGCATATCTAGCTGTATGGAATGGGAGTAAACCATACTGCCTTCTTGCTTTTAGTTATTACCAAGTATGTAGATTGCTGTATTGTGGTCATTGGAAACAAACGTGTAAGCAAACTGTTCGTTCAAGACCCAAGTTATCTGCAAAATGAAATATTTACAGTTTAAAATGATTACTGAGCCCCTGCCTCTCCTCTTGAAATGCAGTGTGATGATGTTTCAAGGTTTGCCTCTAATAGTAAATGAAATAGTTCCCCTGGCCTAGAATAGAAATTGGTGTTTGGTCATTACTAAATAGGCAGAAATATATAAGCACAAGCTGGTGAGCCATCTCCCAAGAAGAATCTGGCTACAGGCTGGGAGCCTGCCCACTTAAGCACTCTTCACAAAGTATTTATATGGCAATGTTTCTTTTGGAGACTATGAATGTTTATGAGTATGAATGTGGCCAGGGTCTGCCAGTTGGCTTCGTGACTGATAAATATGCTCTCAGGACTGTTTAACTTACTAGTGCAGTTATAGCCCTAATACTGCAAACAGAAAAAGCACTACAATGGCTTGCCCTGTTTTTTCTGATTGTTTTGGATAGGTGAATACAGATTGGTTCAGGGCTCTCCAAAATACTGAAGCGTTAGGCATTGCTGTGTGTGAACTGCTATGTAACACAATCTTGTATTTTGAAGGAAACAATCTGTATACCATTGAGCAGTGCATACTGTTAAGTCAGATGTACTGTTTTTCTTCTCCCTCAGTGGATGACTCCTTTTGCAGTCATGCTAGTCACCATTCCAAACCTCATCCTGGCTTACTTCGTGGCCTTTGTCTCTGGTCTGAGCATCGCAGCATCTCTTCTGTTGCCATGGTAAGAGAATTTTATATTTGAGGTGAGGAAGAGGTATATGTCTACAGTACATGTATGTACTACTGCATGGAATTTACCTCCAAAAGTGACAGAATTTGGCAAGAGTCACTTCTTCCAAGAATCTTTTCCTGCTTTTATAATAGATGCTATTTGCAATAACATGACTTCAGTTGCCCTGTTGCTAACAGATTGCATCTACTGTAACTGTAGTGGCTCTTTGTACATAAGAGTGTGAAGAAGAATCAATAATCTAAGAAGCTATAGAGCATGTGACAACAGCAAATCAGATGCTTACGTTTGGTTTGTAATAGAACTACAGGAATGATGAGTTAGATAAACCAATTAATGCTGAGCAATTAAGAACATAGCATAAGCATAACTGTATCTCTGCTTGAGCAGTCAGTCATCTGTTATGGATCAAATAACACAAGGGTATGATTAAAAGAAAGTGAGAATTCAAGGTCTTTAGCTCTTGAAGACTGAAAATATGTGTGTGGGGGGGAAATACATAAAGATGCCCATGATCTTAAGGTCCTTTCCACCCCTAACTATTCTATGATTCTGTGAGCAGGATGGGACATGTCCTGTCCAGTTGAAATAATTATTCAGATCAAATTGACCAGAAAGTAAGATGGTTGCTGACAGCACTTACATTACTCATTTGCACAATGCCCTAAAAACTCCAAGAGATCATGGAAACATCATTTGAAATAAGCTGTCAGACTACATAAGCTTTTCTGCAGAGAGGGTGAGAAGCCCTTTTTTCCAGCAGTAAATCATGACATATACTGGAAATAAAATGTCAAGTCACAGTTGACATTTGAACAGCTTCCATTCTGATTCCCCATTACCAAATTCAGTCTCTTTGAAGTAAGAGAGAGAATAGGTCTCATTGGTTTCTGAAAATGTTGTTAGCTTGTCAGAAGAGTTATTTCAGAGTAAAACTGTTCAGACATTGAGTCCCTTGAAATCTTAACATGGAGTTTTGTTATTCTTATTTTTTTAATATCACAACTTCTGATTGGAATGACTGTCAGTCTAAAGAATTCTGTCACCTCCCAGCAAGTGTTTGATGGTTTTTTGGTGTTTTTCTGCTTTGTAGCATGTGGCCATTCATTTTTTACATGGATTTTTACCCTCCTGTACAGCAGCAGGAGTTTTATAGCTGGATTCTTTCATGTACATGCCTGCATCAGTCAGATCTTAGAAAAGGAGGAGGGTGTACTCTTTCAGTAACTTTAGACTTTGAGAAGAGATTTTGGCGTGAGTTTTTCTTTTATCTTGCTTGTCTCTAGGTCAATGCTGCCTGATGTTGTTGATAACTTTCGCCTGCAGAATCCTCATGGTAAAGGACATGAAACTATTTTCTATTCTTCTTATGTTTTCTTTACCAAGATGTCAGCAGGAATTGGCTTAGGAATTTCTGCAGCAGGACTGGAGTAAGTAACACTATGTTTCCACTTAGTGGATCCACTCTGAAAGCATTCTGAGGTTACACCGCCTTTACCCTGTGGAGTTAATTGCCTTTTTGCTGTGAGCCTGAAAATGCCAGCAGCTCCAAATGGCTGACCACTAAAGATGGGATTGTTATCTAGGCCACACCACAAAGTGTTAAGTCGCCTGCCCTAACATGTTTCATGACAGAAAGACCTGACTTCCCTTTAGATTTTTCTGCTTTCCAAATTACTCCTGTAAATTTTAGTGGCTTATATGAAAAGCTCAGTAGATGAAGGTCCCACACAAGTGATACAACTGCTTTGTGTGTTCCCTGTTGCATCTGGGTTGGACTACATATACAAGCTTGTTAAATCTTTATGTGGATTAGAGTGCTTTCAGAGGTGCCTAGTGGCCTGCTCAGCATAAAAGGGTCACCAATCCTGAATGGTTTTAGGGAACTGGATGCCAGTCAGAATCAGGAACGGTCTTTCTAACAGCTGTGCCCATCACCTAGACCGTGTCAGTTTGGAAGATGCTTTTGTGTTCTTTCACTTTTGCCTTGTCTGTTATGACTAGACAGGCTGAGAAGTGGTCAGCCATCTTCTGCCCTACTTTTGTACATGACCTAGCAGAAGGGGCCTTCGTAGCTTCTACAGCACACAAGCACACAATAAACACTTAGAAGGGAACTTGTCTGAAATACTGTCAAGCCCTTAGCTCCAAGTTAGGTTTTGGTAACCAGAATGTTTTGCTTCAGGGCCTTCAGCTGAAACTGCTAAATAACAGGCAGTGCTTGGCTGAACATTTTGGGCTTAAGAATTTTAGATGCTTGCTGCTAACACCCTCAAACAAATCACTGTTCACCCATTAGCCCCTTTTCAATGGCATTCCATTTAGCTCCTAGCAATTTCCCAAGGCAGATGTTTATGGGAGAACACAGAGCGATGCTGAATGAGCTGTAGCTTTCATAGGTGCATGTTCAGAGGAAAATAATCGCATTCCACAAATTGGGAATGGGAATTTGAGTATTTCAGCAGTTGTGGAGCTGCATGGAAACCCTGAATCAATGAACTGCAAGTGTTTACCTAACTCTAAGCACTTGAGTAAATTTGTCTATCTTGAGATGAGTGCTTAAGGGTGGGTTTAATTTAAAGTTAATTATTGCTATTGAAATTGGTCAGATTACTTACATACTTTTAAAGTGGAGCTTAAATACTTTGCTGAATATTAATAGGAAACACATAAAAGAGCAATTTCCTTACATGGGATTCCATGCTTCTCTTAGTAGTTAAATGTTACATAATGAGAAAATACAGAGGTAATGCAGTTATCTGAAATTGAGCACAAAAATGAGATTTGAGCAACAGGATTTGAAACATGTAGTGGGGCAAGGAAAAAAGAAAGGATTGGGAAAAAATGGGAGAAAAGTCTTGAAGAGTGTTGGGGGAAAGAAGGGAACCTTCAGATGAGCAACTCCCGTTTAGCTTTGGGCGTACATACCACTGTTATTTCCATTTGTTTAGGTTTACTGGATACAAGCCAGGGATATGCAGACAACCCAGTGATGTGATCCTTACGCTGAAAATCCTCATTGGAGCAGTCCCTGCTATCCTCATCTTTGTAGGTTTATTTATACTTCTTTTCTACCCGATCACTGAAGAAAGCCGAAGAGAAACAAAGCTTGCACTTGAGGTGTTAAGGTAGGTTTGAACTGGCAGCAAACAGCAGTAACATCACTACAGCAGCTCATTGTCATACTGAGCAAAAAAATTGTTAGTTACCAACATACACTTCTATACTCCTTACAACAAAACAAATTAGCATGCTATTAGTTGAATTATGGAATGCATGGTATCATTATGTGCTCCAGCATCTTGTTTTTGTAGTATAATACTACTTGCTTAGAGGGCTATTTGTTAGATATGTCAGATATATTTTACTTTTTCTCTGGTATGGTGCACATAGCACTACTGCAGTAGTGTTTCAAGCCAGAAATGAAGAATATTTTGCATAGATAAATTACAATTTACTTGTATATAAAAGAAAATGGGATTCTTGACTGCATTCTTAGTGCTTGTAGCATACAAGAAACATCCAAACCATTTTAGAGACGTAGGCAGGAAAGACTGTGGGAGAAAATGAAAGGACAGCTTTGAGCTGTTCTTTCCCTTTTTACCATATTGCTGTTCTTTCCTCCCCTTTCTTCACTCTCCAACAAAAATCTTGCTTAGCTCAAAATCATCCACTTCTGTCAAATGAAGCCTTGATACACTGAGGACATAAGTAAGAACAGTCTATCCTAGCAGACTGATGGATTAAATATCAGAATATGTTGTTACTTGTCTTGTTTTTATTATCCCAAGTTACTGGAACTGGAAACAGATTTCCATGCTAAGGGAATAATTCCAGGGCCTGAGCATGGGTATCTGGGACCAGTTAATTGCCTGAAGGTATCCAAGATACCTGCATGGGATTGGCAGATATGCCACAGGCCTCTCATGCAGCAGCTGCCTTCTTGAGAAGCAGCTGCAGACCGGAGGGGATAGGCTAAACCATCTAAAACAGGACTGGTCCCTCTGATTAGGTACTGTAGTCACTGTTCAGAACAACTGAACCTTGCTGGTGGTGCTCAATTGTTTGAGATTGCCAAACTCTAGTTCGGTTAGTTAGCAATAAAAGCCAGAAGTCTGTTCATGTATCCTTTGTTCTGCTTTTAACAGGAGAAGCCATCAAAGCACAGACACCCTGGACAAAGAGGATACCTCAGTCTGAAAGCTCTGAATACGATGACTTTCCAAATACAGTCTCACATCTCATGCACAAACTCTGTGAGTCTCCCAGGTCATTTCTCTGCTCACATTTTATCAAACAGGATAAAGGCTGATTCTGACACAGTCAGAAAAGAAATCAAGAGAGAACACCACCGTGCAAAAGAGATATCTAACTCTGCACTGTGCTAAAAAAGACATTACAAATGTTCAGGAATGTGAGCTGTTGAAAGCTTGGGGGTTTTTGTCTATCAGTGATTAAGCTGTGATCTCACTGCAACTGGAAATTCTATGGACTTGTAGGTCAGGGGAAAAGGATGTAAATATTACGCACCACCCACATTTTAACTCATGATATATTTCACCCTTAGGGGCTGGGATGGATTTTGAACATAATTTCTACCTATAAATTGCACACTAGTGTATTTGGAAAGCACTTTGGAATACTAGATTATACTATAAAGTTAGGATTTATTTTCTTTTGAAATGGAGCAAATCACTGATGCAGACATGTTTTGAGGATTTTCTCACAAAGAGTTTTTCTGCAAGAGATTTTGATGTAAGCTATAAGTTATACATATAAGTTTATAACATATAAATTTATAGTTTTTATAAGAAACGGACCCTTATATTTCCCATTACTGGAGTTCTTTGCTTCTGAAACCTGTAAACTGATCTTTGTCAGAGAATGAGTACTGAACATTTTCAAATCAGTATCTTCACTCAGGATACCCACAATCAGTAGTACCTTCCAAAAATTCCAGGAATAAAGGCCATTCAATTTTCTGGCCTTTAAGTAATCATGATAGTCACCCATTTCTCACATCATGTAGGCTTTCTGAGTCATGAAACACCATGACATGGCTGTTAATCTCATCTTGCACACAGTGTTTTATAGTGATGAGGCTTAACCTGGCTTTTAAATGGTGATTTTTTTTGTCAGTTACATTACCTGAAAATTCATTTCTACTATAGATTCTGAACCCTGCTGATTCTGAACACTGAACCTATTTTATAGATGCCTAAGCTTAGGTAGGACTTTCACTTTCTGGAGCACTTCAGTTCAGACTGGTCATTCTGGGTGTCTTCTATAGAGGAACGGAGACCTCCAGAGGCTGGCTCCAAGCTTAAGCTAAAATGATTGGACTCTGAAGACGTATCTATATCTAGAGGGGAGAGTGATGAATCCGAGAGTTGAAGGCTTGTTCGCCTTGAAGACATTAGCACTATGCAAGACGAGACATGAATTTACAGCCCATTGGCTTCATTCTCTGAGTATGTGGGAGGGTGCCTTTATTTTGTATTAGAAGTGCCTTTGGCTTGCTGCTGCTTGGGAGCACTTGCAGTGAGTGTGTCACTGGGGACAGTGACCACAAGTAATTCACTCCAGGCCATCTGGGAAGTGACTCAGTGCTGGGACTGGAAACTGAAAGCTTTTACTGAAAGAAATTGTGAAGTATAATCAGTGCATCTACTGCGTGTCTCATTAAGTTTAATACTGAAACCTTTTCAGGCAAGTTTGAAGTCTGCAGCCTAATGAACTGTACTAATTCAGCAAAACACTTGATTATGAGTGACCTTTTAAGGATATATTTTGAGTGTGTGGGGGTAAAAGTTAACTGTATTTAAGACTTCTGCTGAATTGACATCAAAGGCTGGGGTTTTTTTTTCCTTGTTTTGGTTCTTAGACAGATCAAGATTTGTATGCCTGGGGCATATGTGTTCACAACAATAAAAACCATAAGCCTGTTTACAGTTTTGAGTCTGATGGAATTTGAAATAGCAAATTTACTGCACACTGAAGTAGGTAAGTTATGTAATAATATCACATACCTCCAAGACATCTTAGAAAACAGCTTTGGGGTTTTGATTTATTCTGTAATATTTGTAATATTCTGTAATATTTCTGAATAGTCATCTTTAAAAACAACCAGAAGTCCCAGTAAAGGCTGGGTTATGTTTTCAGCTACTATAAATCTGTAGCTACAAGGCAGTGGATCTGTGTCAGTTTATGTAAGCCAAATACTTAGCTCAGTGATAAAAGGGTTGCAGAAACTGCTGGCTGTGCTTGATTGGAGTAATTTCAATGTGGCTTAAGATATTATTTCTAGATCAGTTATGCAGTTGCCTCTAAATTGAACAACACCCCACCTGAATTCAGTCACTTGTAAGATAAACTTGGTTGATTGTAAACTGTTTTCTTCTTCTCCACAGAGACAATGTGATAATTATCTCACCAAGATGTACTTAGTCCTCACTTTGCATATGGTCTCAATAATGGGAACTGCCAAAATAAAGTAGAAAGCCTCCATAGATTAATTTTAGTAGAGGTTTTTTATCTTTTGAGCATCTCACTATTTTGATTATCAGAGCTGTATTTTTGTTGAGAAAATGAATGTATTTTTGTAAATAAAAAGAATGGAAGAGTAAGTGCAGGGTAAGATTTTTTTAATTATTGTTATTTCAGGGCTCAGTGTTGATGCTGTAAAATGAATTAACTTTCTTTGTCTCCTTGTCAGTTTTAAATGACGTGTATGTCTCCTATACAATTTAGGACATATGACTGAAAGAAGCAGATTCTTACATTGACAGCCATTCAGAATAAACACTAATCTAATATAAAACTCCTGCCTGGGTCTGAATGGCAGTGACAAGGGCCAGGTGAATCCCCAGGGGTTCTCATGCAAGTTATACCCAAATACAGTTGCAAGTACATGGGAGATTGCATTAAACCAACTGGGTGCCTGATGGACAGCACTTCCCCACCTGCATGCACAGTTACAACGGATTTACACAAACTGAGGAAGAAAAGGATAATGGAGCTACATGTCAGCAGTAGTCCCCCATAAGGCAAACCATTGCCCTTGCTGAAGTGTGGTGATGGCAGCCCAAATCTTCTATGCTGGGCTGACTGCTGGTGTTGTCAGTAGCTGAACCAGTCACTATTCTTCTCCTCCAGGTTGACCCCCCTTGTAGTTCCTGCCTAAAATCAGTGCTGAAACTCACCAAGGTTATACCAGCTTTCTGAGTATTCTGCTGGTGACCTATCACGCTACAGATTGCAGCTGCCCAGGTAGGCGAGCTGTCATCCCCTCCCAGGCACTGAGGGAGGCATTGCTGTCAGCACCCACCACAGCCGTGTCTGCTGCCTGGCTGTGTCCTGCCTGCCCCTGGGTGGATTAGATCACTTCTGCTGAGTCCCTGACTTTGAGGGGTGAGTATCACCTTGGATATCTGTTCCAGGGAGTCCAGAAGATTGGGACCTTCAGTGCCAAGTCACTGGGTTTTCAGGCAGGGCTCTGTAGATTTGAGTACTAATTCCTTAATTCATTCTTGCACCATGTAAGAATCTCTGGTAGATTCAATGCCAGCTGCATCTTCTCATTTCTGTTCACCTTCTGCATTCAAAGGAAAATGGTTGAAGTGGACAATGCTTTAAAGCCAAACCCTGCTTTTTTGGGTTCACAGGTTGTTTCCAAGTATCACTTGTTCATCTCCTTTTCTACTTGCCTTTCTGGGTCTAGATACAAACTGCAAAATTAAATGTCTTCTTTAGAGGAAGAGTTTCCTTAAGGGAAACTCAGGTCCTCTAACACCTGGTATTTGCTGTCCAGCTCTTTGAAGATGAGGAAAAAGCAAGTTAGTTCCAAGTCTCATGCTGGCAGGTACAGCCAGCAGCAGCCTAGTGCACAGTGGCCAATCATATACCTCATATGAATTTCATATCATAGTTATATAAAAACCAGTCTCAAAGTCTTACAATAGTCTCTCCCTTCAGAAAATTTCTGCAGTGTTTCTTTTCATGTAATCTTTTCTAACCCTTTTGGTGAACTGTCTGGAAGAAGTTAGCTGGTTATCCCAGTGCATTTATTCATAAATAATACTTGGTACACTTGGAGCATTACGCCCCACATCACCTATATAAAGGTTGTTATTAACCCATATTACAGCTCAGCTAAATAGAAAAAGCAGTTCATTTACCGGTGGTGTCTTAGCAAGAGACAACAGCCTGAGCTGCAGCTTCTGCCAGTTCCTGCCGCCATCCCCCTGTGTTAGACCATGGTGGCTTCCACCTGCTTGCACATCCCTCTCCAAAATTTTCTTCATTGGAAATTAAATTCTTGTTACCATCAGCATTATGCTTGATACATTTTACACCTATAATGACATACTGGGTCTGGCTGGGATGGAGTTGGTTTCCCTTACCGCAGCCTCTAGGGTGCTTTGGATCTGTGACCAAAGCAGGGCTGGCAACATCCTGATGTTTTGGCTACTGCTCACACAACATCAAGACTGAGGCTTCCTCTTTGTTCTGCTCTGGCCCACCAGCGAGTAGGCTGGGGGTGCCCAAAACCCTCATAGGTGCCAAAGCTGGGACAGCTGACCCTAGGAATGTCCCATATGGCATCATGCTCAGTAATGAAAGTTGTGAGGGAGGCCATCCAGAATTATGGCACTTGTTTTGCCAAGCAACAGTTACACGTGATGGACCTTGCTTTCCCACAAGCTGCTGGACAGCTGCCTGCCAAAAGGACATGCTGAATAAACTTCTTGTTTACTTGTACATGCAGATTATTTTATCTATTAAAGTGCCTTTATCTCAACCCATGAGTTCTTGCTTTTGCCCTTCTAATTGTCTCCCTATCCCGCACAGAAGCTCAGCCGCCAGCTGGGCTCCAACCACCACAGAAGATGACAAATGTGAAGTCACTTCCCCAAATCCACACAGAGAAGCAAGGAAGGAGAGGCATGATCGGTAAGCACAGAAGGGAAAAGGGTCTTTACACGCTCGGGATATCCCACGTGATCCTATGTTGTTCCAAACTCTGTACACCTGAACTAGTGCTTACACCCTTAGTAACACTGGTGCAAAACACATGCACTTCTGGGGGCCCTGTTCCTAAATAACACATGTCTTGTTTCAGGCTTTGACAGAAGTGAAGAAAGCGAAAACAATGCAGTGTTTTCCAAGGATTTATTATGGAAGTTTACTCTCATCTAAAACCACCAACATATCAAAGTCCAAGATGGAAAATTTAGCTCAGAAGCTTCTAAGAATGTGTATTTTCAATCACTGGTCTGTTCTGCAAGAGGCTCATTAAAAAAAAACACTGCTTAGTATAAAAAAGGTTCCAAGAATGAAATAAATAATTTGCGACAAAAACCCCTATGGAAATCCAACAGATTTGAGACAGACTTCTGTTCAGAACTGCAGTCCTATACAAGTTCAAAACTCTCCCATTGTCAGACAGGCATTACAAAATCAGCGTCAGAAATCACATTTTACTGCTGGGCTGTTTTGAAGGACTGCAGTCATCTAATGCCTTGGAGGAGCAGTCTATGAGGACTTCCAAGGAACTTGTGATATCCAGACTTTCTGAAGAAGCGGGTCTGCACCTTTCTGTGGAACTGATGATGTCCAAAGTTTTGGAAGAACGGGAACCATAGCCTTTTGCACTGGCATCTCTCACCACTATCTCCTGCATGGATGTAAACAGCAGCGGAACAAAGCCCTCGCTGTCCGCGGTGAGAACAATCCAAGATGAACCTGTGAAGACATGAAAACGTCTGTTTGTAAGTTTTCATGTAATTAGGTATGTTTGAGATATAAAACACATTACTTCTAAAATTAAACATGCTTCTGCATGGAGGAAAAGAAAGTATGTGGAGATACAGGTTGCATAATCTCAAACCTACAGGGCAGTTGACAACTATGTGAAATACCTCCTTGACCAATTGGAGATGAGACTATAATAGATAGAGACTTCAAATATGGAAGAGGAATGAAATTCTGAATAGAATCCATAAGACTTGTTTTAGGTAGGTATTTATAAGCTACTTCACATTTCTTAATCTGTGCAGATACTGTGAACAGGAAAAATTTATTAAATGACAAATGAAGATAATAAAAACAATTTAGAAACTGCTTCTATTATGTAATTTCCATACATTTAATTCCAAGAAATGCAAGGAAGAAATATTGTCCTGCACTGTACAAAACCCTTGTCTCTGGTCTCTTGGCTGTTTGACTTCACATGACCGTTAGCATTATTTTTACCATTTGAAATTGTTTACTGAATCCAAAACACTGATTTCTACCAAGTCACAGAAACCAGAAAATTTTCACACTTGTACCCATTAGTTGGTGAAGAAATAAAATTGAGCTCAGGGAGGGTGAGGGAATTCAGAGAAATTCAGAGAAATGTTTCCAGCTGTTTGCAAATTTACATTATGTAATTCATGTCACAAGTAAGGTCATGAGAAGATTGTATCTTAAAAGCATGCAACTCCTTAATCTTTTGGCTTACTAACTCATTTGGACCAAACCTGAAAATCAGTACAATTTGGGAAATTGAAAATACCATTCCTACTTTGCCCATTTATCTAGTAACATTTGTAAAATTAATAAAGAAAATGATGGCAACACTGCTTGCTTTTAAAATGTATCTAGCAAGGTTCGTCATAGGATGACTGGGGGATGGTGGGAGAGATTTAGGTTAGATAGAAGGAAGAAATTTATTACCATGAGAGTGCCCAGAGAAGCTGTGGCTGCCCCATCCCTGGCAGTGTTCAAGGCCAGGCTGGATGGGGCTTTGGGCAACCAGGCCTAGTGGAAGGTGTCCCTGCCCATGGCAGAGGGGTTGGAACTGGATGATCTTTAAGGTCCCTTCCAATCCAAACCATTCTGTGATTCCGTGATGACTGTTCTTTCCTGGGCAGCCAATTCTGTTAATTTTAGAAAGAAGCTGAACTAACACAGGTAATGGGGACATTTTTCTTGCCAGAAAGAAAAGTTGTTCAAGTCGCATAGCTCAAATTAAAATTCCGGTCTGAAAAACTAAGAGATCAGTGTCTACCAGAGTGCCTGCTGTTATCACTGGGTGTATCACACGGTTCTGGGTCATGCCACAGCATAGGGACAGTTGCTCAGTAACTTTGAGCATACAGCAGACACCAAAGGCAGGTAGCTGGAATATCTGTAGTACAGAGAATATCTGTAGTAGTGAGATACCATGTTCCAAAAGTATATGCTCTACCTTTGCCAGAAGTAAGAGACAGAATTGACAGATACCCAGACACATGGGATGAACAGAGAACAGCAGAGAAGATGACAGCAATAGAAAGGTAGTTCTCTTCACAGCAAAACCAGAAGTGAAACATACTGCTAGAAGTTACAGAGTCACTTTTGTGTTTATAAAAAACAACAAGATTTCTTAAAGGATACCAGATGCTGGAACTACAGATTAAAACATAGAAAACTGTATTCCAAAGCCACCAGTCAACTCTAACCTCCTCACTACTCAGACTTCATTATTTAGAATAGCTGAAAACATAAAAATACTGGGCAACATTAATTTTCCTGCACAGCTATTTGATAAGGGAGTATCAATATGTAAAACTGGGCTATTTTTTTATGATGTAAAAAGTAAAAGCCCAGAGAAGAATCTTCATGTTATAAACCAAATGAGAAAACTGTTTATTAGTAATCTTTCATTATTTATTCCTTGGTTTTTTTTTTCCAGATGGGATGATGCATATTGCTACTGCTCCCTGAGAATGTTGCCTGTGTTTAAAGTGGTTGTATTATTGGATAATTACAACGTACCGTGTTGCATTTCTACAAGAGAGAGATTAAATATCTGCTGGACTGTGTTTAAATGGAGTTTGCCACCACAAAGAATAACAGCTCGTCTTTCATCTGAATCACTTCTGGACAGCTGCTTCTGTAAAGAAAGAATCATTAGATACCATGATGCATATTTAAGCAGAGACAGCAAAACAGCATTAATCAAAACAGGATCCCTTCAACTGCAGCATTTACAGAAAGGCAAGTGCTACATTGATTCAGATCCATGTGCAAGATTTATACTCCAATGCCTCAGCTCTCAAAATGACAATCTGTGAGTGATGGTAACAAGTAGCTGTGCTAACTCAGCATGTGTCAGAACAACGGATAGGAAATCCTACACTGCTGCTGAAGAAACCATGAGCTTCCCACCATCTGTGAGGGACATTTTCCTGGGCAGTCTGTAAAGCTGCAGGTTTTCCATCCTCCCACCTCCCTGATCCACAGCTTCAGAAGACGTGAGAACTCCTGCCCATGAATGTTTGGGATGAGGAACAGACTGACAAATCAGAAGGGCTTCTCTGCCTCACCTCTAACCATCACTGCCCCAAGCCTTAAAATCAAGAAGTGTCTTCAAAGCACACCCACCACAGGGCAGAGCAAAGCCTTTTTAAAACCTGCCACAGAGCAGTTGTTACCAGAACTATAAGCTCCATGTTGGATAAAATCCACACAACCATATCAGTTCCCAGGGAAGCTTTGATAATGCCTCCAGGTCATGACAAAAACACATGGAGTAAATTCTGACTCCTCTTCCATGCTGTGGACAGACCCATCCACAAACAAGGAGGGCATGTGGTGCCTGCTGTCCGCTCAGATTACTGTTCCTATGCTGTGGCACAACCCAGAACTGTGTGATAATACCCAGTGATAACAGCAGGCACTCTGGTAGACACTGATCTCTTAGTTTTTCAGACTGGAATTTTAATTTGAGCTACGCGACTTGAACAACTTTTCTTTCTGGCAAGAAAAATGTCCCCATTACCTGTGTTAGTTCAGCTTCTTTCTAAAATTAACAGAATTGGCTGCCCAGGAAAGAACAGTCATCATGGAATCACAGAATGGTTTGGATTGGAAGGGACCTTAAAGATCATCCAGTTCCAACCCCTCTGCCATGGGCAGGGACACCTTCCACTAGACCAGGTTGCCCAAAGCCCCATCCAACCTGGCCTTGAACACTGCCAGGGATGGGCAGCCACAGCTTCTCTGGGCACCCTGTGCCAGCACCTCAGCACCCTCACAGAGAACAGTTTCTTCCCAACATCTAATCTAAATCTCCCCTCTTTCGGCCTAAAGCCATTTCCCCTCGTCCTATCCCTAACATGCTTTTGTAAAAAGTCCCTCTCCAGATATCTTGCTGGCCCCTTTAGGTACTGGAAGCTTCCCTTCAGGTCTCCCTGGAGTCTTCTCCATGCTGAACAGGCTGAATAAGACTCCTGTTGGATTCACCTGCATGCACTGAAATCATTCATAGATACTGATTTGCACAGACTAAACATTCATAGGATGTCATCCTCTCTGCACACAGTCTGACAGGAGTTCATATTTTAAATCTGTAGAAAGAACAGACATCCATAAACAGATTTTTTTATCATTAAGGCTTCCAATATTAAAATTACCTGGCAGGTGATGTTAATAAAAGAGGGTTCCTGAGAAGATGGGTATATTGGAAGATTTCTCTTCCCAGATTTTAGCAGCTCAGTTAATTCACAGAGATGATGCTGTAATTCTGTGAAGTTACCAGACAGTTTTTCTACATTTTTTGAAAAGTAACTTGCTTCCTTTTCACATAATAAGTTATTCTTGTAAGAATTGGGTACTTTGAAAGCTGCATCTGCCTGTCTTTTTGGAGATGTTGGCTTGACAGAGGATGCCAGGGATGTGGCAGACAGTGCTGCTGCTCGATTAACTGGTTCAGCGTCAAGACACTCAACTGCTGGAGAACAACTCATGGAAATCTTATCTTTCAGGTCACTCATGTTCGACAAACTCTGTTCATAAACAGGACTCTTAATTTCTTCAATGAGTTTCCTTTTGCTGGTAGGGGACCGAATGGCAGCACGATCTGGCATCAAGAGTCCACGGCTGAGAGGGTGTATGTCTCTAGAGAGATCATGCTGTATGTTGGAAAGGTTCAAACTGGAGCTCCCATTAACTGATGCTGATGTTGAAGGACCCATTTCAAATATTAGTTCCTTAATCATCAGTCGTATCATATATTTGTCTGATCTTGAAGAGGGAAGAAATGCAGGGTCAGTGAATCTTTGTTTTCCAACCAGTATTAGTAACAATTTATTGGTCAAGAAGCACAGCCCCTTTGGTTTTTCATTTTTCTCTAGCTGAATTTGTTGAATATTGGGTAAACTGGATGAAGTCAGTGAATAGACTAAAATAACATTACAAGTATTGGAGGCAACTGATACAATTTGAGTTTTGGGGTCAAAAGCCATTATATCAGGAACCAGAATGCCTGGGACGCTAACTTTTTTGGTAGAGGTAACCTTTCTTTCAAATGTCACTAAGATGAGATGTGAAGAATCCTGGCCACTTCCCGTTAGGTAGTCCTTAGGCCGCAGATGCAGAAGAGGACTGGAATCAGTGCCCTGCTTGCTAGAAAGTATGTGAGTTAGATCCACAGGGGATGCAACAACAGACAGGGGCTTCTCTGAGTCCAGCGACTTCTTCCCCCCATCCATGGAATACTCTTCCTCACCACATAAGCTGGACTGCGAGGGGAAAGACTCTGTTTCAATGCTGGCTGGAACTTCAAATGCCACACCAGCATTTAAGCCACAGATCTTGTCCAGAGGAAGTTCAGTAGCAACAGCAACTTGGAAATTCAGAGTAGCTTCCACAGCGCAGACGTAGCCTCCCACATCAAAGATTGGGCAAAAAGAACAAGCACTCAGTGTTTTCTGAGCATCATCCCAAATGTAAGAATGAAGGGCACTGCCTACTCCCACCACTAAGCGATTGCCTTCCTTTGTCCAACAAGCGCAGTGGATGAGGCCACTGCCTTTAATATCTGCATTAACTCTGGAGCTGTTGAGGTGAACAGAGTGTAGGACAGAAGCATCCTGTGTAGTTAGCACAGCCAGGATCTCCTTCTTGGGATGCCACACACAGCCCTGGGGGAGCACTGGGAACGGCTCACTGATGTCACATATCTGAGATACCAAGAGCTTATTTCTTTCTGTAGCATTAAAACAGAGCTGCCAAATGGTGATATGCTTTTTGTGTTGCACAGCAAGCAGGGCTGGGGCGTCAGGGGGACATGGGCCCCAGTAGAGTCCATGGACGTGTTCAAACTGACCGACAACACTCGAGTCACCAAATTCTGGGTCTCCTTTATGAAGGTGTAAAGCAGTCAGTATCACCTGTTTCCCATCTGTCCAGGCAATGCCATGCACAGGGTGAATTGCTTGATATAAGGCATTAAGGCCAGTTCTCAGAAGCTTTGCCTTTCCCAGCTCCATGATTTTTCATGTGAGACATCTGAATAAATCAGAATATAAAGAAAAACAAATTTATTTTGTAGGGATAAATTTTTCTGTAGAGGACAGAGGCCAGTACCTATATGAGCATTTAGATTGTGACCCTACCAGTGCTGGGCTCCTCCTTCCAGTAAAGTCAATACACACATAATGTTCACCTGTGCTGAATCCCCAAGGTTTTTTTTTGTTTATGATGTTTCTACAATGAAACATAATTCTAAGGAAAACCCTCTGCTGTTGACACAGGCTCAGTCTACTGCATTTCCACCACAAGACCAGTCCTTCTATTCACATCAACAGGGCGCTGCTTCTCAGTATTTTTGAATGACATCAGCATTAAAAAGTCTCAAAATACCAGCTCTCACTCTCAGCTTCATGGGCTGTCTTATGCTCAGATAATGTAATCCCTTACAAGTACAACCAAGGATTAATGCATTATCTACAAATCTGATCCTGTATTACAGTGGGTGAGAACAAGGCACCTGTATCCTTATTCCAGAAAGCTCTCTACAAAAGCAAATGCAGTTTTGAAGAAAGTTAGGATCAAAGCATGGTTTTTCTTAGGAAATGAATGAGAAAAGAATTTAAAATAACTTATAACACAGGAGAGGGACAGACCCATCTACCTCCAGCACCAGCCGTACTATGACAGCATACGAATGTCTCTCAGTCTTTAACATCCTCCAATGCAGTGATTATCCCTTTTTTTCCCTTTTCCTAAGCACCTTTCTGTCAAAGCTCACAAACCACTTTATAGCTCACTACTGTTTGTCGGGTAGAAGGGATGAAAGCAGTAAGCAGCTGATTGTGCCTGCAGCCTGGTATTTCCACATACCCACATATCCATACAAAACTATACAGACACTTTTAAATGCCTTATATATATATATATATATATATATATAGTATCTGCAGTAATTCTGTAAACATTTTCATAATTTGGATATTGCTTTAAGAGTACTTATTTTCATATTGTCCTGCAAGTAGAAATTACTGGTTCATAGGAAGGAAATGAAACCACAGAAAAATTTCATTCCACTCTTTTTGAAAGATGGACTACGTGATTTGCCCGATTAGTCTTTTCTACATAATAGCTTCAAAAAGGAGAATGGGAAGCTGCCAGCAATAATTATTCTCTGTAACCTGGAACCAGAGACATCCAGAAACCACATGCAAAATACCAAAACTTCAGAAAAGTTCAGGATTTCACACATATTTCTAGTTTTTAGCTGTGAGCAATCCCTGCTCTGTGCACAGAAGCCAATTCAAAGGAACTGATGGTTTTGTCACTTAAGATTCTCCATAGGATTTGACTCAGCTGCAAACCACAGCACAAGTTGCAGCTTTAGTAAGAAATATGACAAAGAAGAAGAAAGTGTTTGAGAAAGTCGAACTGGAAAAGCTTATCACAACGTGCAGGGCCTGGCACTACTTGGTATTTTTAACTATTTGTGGGTGATCCCAAACTTGGAGGAAGAAGATTGGGAAAGATTTCAGAGACTAAAATTAGACAGAAAAAGTCATGTAATGATAATCAAAACAGCTTCTTCTCAAACTCATAACAAGTGCAAAATGGTATACTTAGCAAAGAAAAAACCCAGAGCCTTGATATCTCCTGAGTAATAACTCCCCAGATAGCAGTATAGCAAAAAGAATCTGGCTTACAAATCAATTTGGATCACATACTGAATGTTTCACTTATGTGAAAATGTTGCCAAGTAAGAGAGTATCATTCTGGAATGTTTTTAATAGGGATGCCATACTCAAGGGAGATATTGGCCCCACTTCCACAGAGGTAACAGTATCTTCACTGGAATCCTGTGCCTAGTTCTGAGTTTAATAGTCCAAGCATGATGGAGATGCTTAACAGAGCTCAGGGACCAGAGAAACACAAGAAGCAAGTTCACTCAGTTTGGAGGAGAATGTGAGTGGAAGCTTGCAAATACCCACCAGTCTGCTGACAAGAGAACACTGACCCCCTTGTTCTCCAGGTCTGCTCTGGATAGTGAGAGATAATAATCAGCTTAGTTTCAACAAAGGAGATTTGGGTCAGCTATTAAGGAAAAATTCTAACTATAAGTGATAGCTAAGCACTGAAGCAGGTTACCTTGGAGGACGGAAGAAGGGACTCCATGAATTTTACTATCTGTAAGAGCCAGTTAAGTAAACATCTGTCGGGGGTAATTTCAAGTACACTGGATCTTGCTCTTGCTAAGACAGCATCCAACATACTTTACAATTAACTTCACCAGCTACCCGGCTCTCCTATAAACTCCAGTGTGACTGATCCCAACCCTGTTCAGCAACCACCACTTGCAGGAAATCAAAACACTGGCTGTTCACTCTTTAGTGAACACATGCACGCTGCTGGGCAACACTTACGGGAGATGATACCGTGCCTCATAAGATACTCCACGGTTCTAAGCCTCCTGTGATACACCAGCCATTCTGTGCTCTCCCCAGTCCACCTGGAAAAGCAAAAGCAGCAAGATGCCCACTGGCCAGTGCCCAAACTACTAGCCCTCCACCACTTCCACACCGGCACCTCAAGTCGTGCTGCCACCGGTGAGGCCCGCCCCAGCCACCTCCCTCCTCACGGTCCCTCCGCACCTGCCCGGGCCTCACCTCACGCCCTCGTACCGCGCCCCGGCGGAGGCCGAGCTCCACGGAGGTACCTGCCCAAGCGCCTCTGGCGAGCACCGGGGAGACGTTGTGGGGCTCTTCTGGAGGGGCACCGGGCGCAGAGAGGATCCAAACCCAGCCGTCCGCCTCGCCGCTCCCTGCGCGGGCCCGCCTGCACTGATACTCCCCCTTTCCCACAGCAGCCCGCCCGCTCCGCTTCCTCCCCGCCGCGGCCGCCAACCCCGCGCACCCGGCGGCTCAGCGCAGCTCCGGCTGGGCGGTACCCGCGGCCGTGCCCCGGAGCCCCGCTGCGGACAGCAGCGCCCGCCCTTCTCCAGCAGTAACCTGCCCCGCCTGCCGGGCCGGCCCCCACCCACGTGGCCGCGCTCTAGCGGGCACGCAGAGCGCTGTGGCCCAGCGGGCGGTACCCCCGGGAGGCGGGCGCTAGAACTACAACTCCCGGGAGGCAGTGGGGCGGCGCGGTGACGCATATCCCGTCACCTGTCTCCCCTCACCCGCCACTGCCTGGCGGGTCGCGTGCGGCCGGCGGCTGCTCCAGGGGGCTGTAGCGGTGGTGCCGGTGGTCCCGGGCCGTGTGACACGTCTAGCCCACGGTACCCTGCCCCGCCGAGAGGAGTACCCCATCGCGGGAGGGGTGTCTGGACACCAGCACGGTGACTGGCCTGGTCTGGTTACCAGGGGTCGGTTCAGCCCCTTGCGGCAGGAGGGTATAGCATAGGTGGCTCCTGCGGGTCGGCAGACGTGGCCGTGGCCTGGGCGCATAGCCTGGAAGTGTCAACAGTTACTTGGGTCCTTCTGCGAAAGATAAAGATGCAAAATGGAATATGTGCCTGCAAGAAATCTGGAAAGGGACGTTTTACAAGGGCATGTAGGGATGGGACAAGGGGGAATGGTTTTAAACTGAAAGGGGAGATTTAGATTAGGTATTAGGAAGCTCTTTATTGTGAGGGTGCTGAGGTGTTGGCACAGGCTGTGAAGAGAAGCTGTGGCTGCCCCATCCCTGGCAGTGTTCAAGGCCAGGTTGGACGTAGGGGTTGGAGCAACCTGGTCTAGTGAAAGGTGTCCCTGCCCATGGCAGGGGGCTTGGAACTGGATGAGCTTTAAGGTCTTTTCCAACCCAAACCATTCAATGGTTCTATTTGTTTGGTCATCTGTTTTCTGTTGTGGTTTTGTTTGTTTTGTTGTTTGGGTTTGGTGTTTTTTTCCTCCTTGGCTGAAGGCAGCTTATAAATATATTACAGAGCTACTCCAGTGCATCTTAGAATCACAGAATCGTCTTCTGTGGCCCTGATTTATTGCATCGGGCTTAACCTCCTGTAAGTCTCTGAGGCCACTTTAAAGTTAACTATATGGTAAGACCGTGCCAATTTGTCACTACGTAGTACTGTAGAACAGTCTGATTATCCAGCTCTTGAAACCCATACTTTTGACTGGAAAAGATGCCTTAAACAGGTGCCAAAGGTGTGAAAAAAATGCTTGAAATGGTTACAAGGTCAAATATGTAAATAGTTCAAAGTTACTGAAAGAACACTAGGGGGTGACTTGGGTATACTGCATGAGTGCCTTTAGAGAGGAAAACATCAGAGCTGAAGAGTTCTTTACATGAGTGAAGGGAGGTTTAACAGGAGCCGTGGATGGATTGACACATGTAAGACACAGCTGTGAGTTTGACTGATACCCGGAACAAGCTACCAATAGAGCAAATCCTCTGTGTGTATCTTCCACTTGCAACTTGGTGACTTTCAGGGACATATTATTTAAATGCAGAGTTTGCCTCTGTCCCAGAAAAATTTCTGAACTCAATAAATGGATTTTAGATTAAATTCAATGGCCTGTGATGCACTATAGGTGGATATCTATGTATGATAGGATACAAAGTAAAATTCCATGAGCTGTTTCTCTCAAAAAATACAGTCTTTTATGTGGTTTTACTGGCAAGGGTTTGTGGAAGAGAAATTCCTGGCATTAGTTTCCAGGTTCCTTTGGAAGCTTGTTCAACAAAGAAGTGAACATGTCAGTGACATGGACAGTGGGATTGAGTGCACCCTCAGCAAGTTGCTGACAACACCAAGCTGTGTGGTGTGGTTGACACGATGGAGGAAAGGGATAACATCCAGACGGACCTGGACAGGTCGAGAGGTGGGCCAGTGCAAACATCATGAAGTGCAACAAGGCCAAGTATAAGGTCCTGCACCAGGGGCAGGGGAATCCCAAGCACAAATACAGACTGGGAGGAGACTGGATTCAGAGCAGCCCTGCAGAGAAGGAACTGGGGGTGTTGGTCCATGAGAAACTTAACATGAGCTGGCTTCAGTGTACACTTGCAGCCCAGAAAGCCAACCGTGTCCTGGGCTGCATCAAAAGGAGCGTGACCAGCAGGTCGAAAGAGGTGATCCTGCCCCTCTGCTCTCATGAGATGCCACCTGCAGTACTGCATCCAGCTCTAGGGAGGACGTGGAACTGTTGGAGCGAGTCCAGAGGAGGCCACAAAGCGCTGAAGCGCCTCTGCAATGACAACAGGTTGAGAGAGTTGGGGTGGTTCAGCCTAGAGAAGAGAAGGCTCCGGAAGACCTTAAAGCAGCTTCCAGCACCTAAAGGGGCTGACAAGAAATCTGAAGGGGACTTTTTACATAGGCATGTAGTTCACAGGACAAGGGGGAATGGCTTTAAACTGGCAGAGGGGAGATTTACATTAGATATTAGGAAGAAATTCTTCACTGTGAGGCTGATGAGGCACAGGTTGCCCAGAGAAGCTGTGGCCGCCTGATCCCTGGCAGTGTTCAAGGCCAGGCTGGACAAGGATTTGAGCAACCTAGTCTAGTAGGAGATCTCCCTGCCCATGGCAGGGAGTTGGAACTCGATGATCTTTAAAGTCCTTTCCAACCCAAATCATTCTGTGACTCTATGTTTCTATGAAGTGGCCGTAGAAAAGGGACAGGGATGGCTAGAGGGCAAGAATAGGATTTGTTTGAACGTTCATATATTTGAAATTACAGTACATCTTTATGCCAGCTTCAGGCACTTGATGCTGTGAGTTGCATTATGTAAATAAATGAAAACTAGATTTGAGTTAATGAGTGGATTTCCAAGGTTACATTTTTAGTTTAGAAAGACGAGCAGTGGACCCAAATGCCAGCATTTCTGCGTTGCTCCATAAATACACACTCTCTGGTGTATGAGGATTTACCAGAAAATGATCAAACATGTGTTTTGATTTCTGTGCTCTATTTTCCTTTTCCTCTGTCATTAACAACAGACACGGTGCAACCATAGAAAGAACAATCCCAAATTAGCCCAGAATGGAAGAGGAAATTGAAAAATTTCCCGTAGAAATCTACTCTATATTCACAATATATCTTACCACACTGTCAGGGTTAGGGCCTTAGTATATCGTGTCTCAGAGAGAGGTGAGCAGGGATGAGCCCTGCCTAAGAGATGGTGATGATGGTCATTGTATTTGCACTTTTTAGCTCTGGGAAGTACGCACACAGTTATGAGAATGGCACAGCACTAGG